CTTTTTGGGCACCTTTGGTAGACGATTGCGAGAGGTAGAGGTCAGGGGTCGCATCATACTATTCTGTATCGTAGAAACTCATGTCCTTCATAGGCCAAGTTACCGGAATACTTTATTGAGTCATGGATATTCTCTTCTTCTCTCAGCGTTGTCGATCAGTGTGATACGTGGGCTACTGCGACAGAACTGGATAGCATTCAGCTTGCGCGATTCAGTGCGAATAAAGGTGAACTTCTTGAATTGGCCAAGACTCAGGTCAGATATCATTGATGAGACTCTTGCCATACCCTGATTTTTCTTTGCAGCTCGATATGATTGGCGTCAAAGTAGGTCATTTGCCCAGAAAACCGCCTTTTGCAACAACATATACAGAAGAAACTGCTTCGCATTCAGAACAAATCGATAAACGCTCATCGATGCGGCGGATAAGCAATCACGAGATCATACTAGCTATTGGGGACAAGCAGGCTTTTTATGACTTGTATTGTGCAACTTCAAATCGTGCCATCGACATGTACGTGAAGGCTGGCCGTCGCAAATTTGCTCTAAAGTTGCATGGCTTCCTTGCTGCTCTGGACATGTAAGCATACTGTTCGACATATGATCCGCCTTCTTATTACAGGACAGTCATCGAGGACGCCTAACGAGTGCTCTGTCGATTTTCACATCATTGCCCGCTCATTATGCACCTCATATGTGGATATCGCTAGAGTCTTTCGTGCTCTCTCGTGCACTCGACATACACGCGGAGCTGAAAAATCCTCAAGACCGAGAGTGGATACATATCTTACTTGCATATCTCAGGACATGCACAAATGACATGAGCAAAGAACTGACATTGGAAGTGGATCAGGAGAAGTCTGTTACGCAGCTTATCAAAGCACTTCATACCGCTGCGGCAAGTTTGGACTCAGGTGCGCACTTGCCAAACGCACTGGCAATCTGTAATTGTCAATAATTGGGAAATCGTAGATCTGGTTCACACAGACCATCCTATCATGGCAGTTCAAGCATCTGGCGATGCTACCTGTAGTGACAATGAAGACTTAGTCTTAGTCGATGTTACCGTTTCAAACCACCTACCATGTGTGCGTGTTCGTATATTTAGACATTGTTTCCAGAGCTGATTTTATTTCAAGGAGGTCCTTGTTGATGAAATTAACATGACATTGCGCGGTCGAGATTCTGAACGTCTGAAGTTTACTGCGAAGGTGGATAAACTTCCTCCTGGCCGATCGAACGTAACCCTATCTTGCCCGGTGCGTCTGACCACCCCAACAGTATACCGTGAAACTGAACTGCACATTATAGTCATCTTCGTGGGGTCTATACACTCCTGAGAGCAGTGAGATAGTAATGTCGCGTATCCACTTTCAATGGCAACATACGGGTACTGCTGCCACTACTGCCAAGAGGAATCAGATTTCATTGGTGCGCGTGCCGCGCAGTTTGCGCGCTTTGGATATACAGATACGTCAACCTCAGCAAAGTAAGTGGTATAGTCTTCTTGACTGCACTACTTATAACTTGTGGATTCAAGCTGAGCTTGGAACGACATCACACCTTTTACTTGTGATTTCCACTGGCCAGAATGACATCTCGAGAGCGACTATAAAGCTAACTCCGCCTTCCGGAGTGCAACTCAACTATTCCGCAGCACGCTTAGAGGCCGAAGGTCAGTGTTTTCAATATCTCTTGATATGTTTTTGAACCAGGCCAAGGTACGGGGACTCTTGTAACCTCTGATGACGCTATTGTCCTTCTGGATGTTCCCGTCGACGCGGACGTTGTTATTTCTTTGCCACACTCCGACGCTTCAAGATATCATACAATGGTAAGCATCTTTTTCCAAAAAAAGACGACTCTTAATCCTGCACTGAAGAAAATTTGGCTAAATGTGACATATAATACGCAATCCTCGATGGATGTCATCCGCACCTTGCAAACCTCGAGAATTGTCACGGTCTCACTACCCATAGCAGTCAACGTAGAAGACTTTTTCCGTGGAAAAAGGTTCCATCATTACATCACCTTGCACTTGTTCTGAAATCCTTTTAGATTATTTTCAAAGTTTACTATCTCGGCGACTTCCCACCAGCATGTTCGAATATCATCGACAGAGCTGCAGGGCGCACGGAGTCTCGATGGGGTGAAGATTTCAGGCTGTCGTCGGAGTCGTCCTGTTGTGGTAGGGTTCTATATTTTCGCTGTTTGCTGAAGACAATAAACTTTACATAGACCGTTACGCCAGAACATCCCGTGAACTTCTTGTTCTCCATAGAGTCTTCCAATGGACCTGGTGCGTCGCTAGTCAGTCTACTTGTTGAGTGCTAAGAGAAACCTAGTCCTTGATCCACTGAACCTTGTCATCAAGTATCGCATACTACGTGACGGTGAGGATTCTCTTTATGTGATATTGCCTTGATTGCAGCTATATGTTATCTAGAGGTGGAGGCATTGGTTCGACAGACGGTGGAAGCTGTTTTGTCAAGTATGGCAGTCGAGGAGCCTCAATACGGCTCTCTACGACGCATGCTCATCGACAAACTAGTCGCACAACTGGAGAGTAACGCTGAATGGGTAGAAGCATACAGGGCTACCGGTGAAATCATCTCGCCTCATTCGTTCGAAGATGGCGGGGATTTCCAGGGACCTATTCGGGAGGTTTGTTTGTCGATTTCTGGCACTGTTGCTCTTGCTCATCACGCGTAACTGTCTTTCAGGCATTGGCGCAATGTCGCTCAGAGACTGCGTCACCCTGCCCTTGGAGAGAGATCAAGATACCGGTTGACGTGCCAAGGATGAATGTTGGTATCGCCTAGTTGTCCCTAATACACGCCTGAATTAACTAGCCTGTCTGTAACAGATTGTGACTGCAGCACAAATCACTGTTCAACCCTCTTCACTTCCCAGTGACATTCAGTCAGATCAACTACCGCCAATCTACGCAGGCCAACCAATCAACGCAACCCTCATCTTCAAGACCTCTTTTCATTGGGCTGAAAAAGAGGGCAAACAGCGCTGCTACACGATGCGATACGATGTCGAAGAGCGTATCAAGGATTGGCTTTTGTGTGGACGAAAGCGTGGAGAATTTGTTGCAACTGTAAGTCTCACGTATATCAGTCCATTCCCACGATTTAAATGATGTGTAGGACGGTGGTTCATTCACTGTTCCGTTGACATTAATAGCTCTGCATCATGGCGAAATTACTTTACCCAAGGTCGACGTGCGACCACTACCAATATCAACGCAAGCCTCGATGGGATCTACAGTGCCGAGCGCTGATGCTTATCAGGTCCATGGAGCTGAAAAGGTCTTGATTCTGCCCAGAGGTGGCAGAAGCACATATATTGTAGGTATGGGTGGCGAATACGAATGAATGTACCAACAACTTTCACTTCTGTGATAATTTTTTTTGGGAGACTTGATCTTGATCGTCGTTTGAAATTGTTGAAAGCATCTTTCCTTCGGGATATCCGAACCAAATCCCAAGTAGTGTTACAAGATTTGCTGCGAGGAGAAGGCCAGATGAAAGTGGCGTAGATGGATAAACATTCCAGGCATATTCGATTATGCCTATGAGTGCCATTCTTCGCACATATTAGAACGCAAAAATATACCTTCCTGCACGAAGAGACTCACTGCATGATAAAAGGAAACCTTGTTCTTTGAGTAAGAAAAGGCAATTGCTGCGAATACCACGAGTAAAATTGGTAGTGCAGTGATCGTGCGAAGATGACGCCAATGAGGTTGGATGTCATAAGCACAGTAGCAACGTCTGGTACACAAGTCAGCAAACAAAAATTGACGAACCCCCAAAATGACTCACAATCAGGATCCACAGGCACCAAACCAGCAGGCAGACCGGGTCGCCGGAGGGCTCTCTGCAGGACCCTAGTTACACCACCATCGCCGCCACACCATCGGAATAATCCAAAGGCAATCAACACCGTAACGTGACCCAGAAGTAAGCCTTTTGCCCATGCGGGACTCAAAAATGTACGTTCATCGACGAAGCGCCAGTTCACAGTCCACCTGTACAGGAAAATGCGTGACAAATCAAATGCATTCCGCATGTAGGACTTTGCATTTGAAATGAGGAAAGAGCGTGCAAGTAGGGTTTGAGTGCACGCCAAGACAAGCATGTGTCGGATGGTCGCGAAGAGACCGCGTCGTTTGAAGAGAATGACTAATAAACCTGGCAGATACAGTAGTGCTGACATTTTTACGGAGAGAGCGAGGCTTGTACAAATTTATGGATGTTCAACATCGGTGAGGAAGGATGGGCTCACCTGAATAACAAGATGCCGACGTCATCCCAAGCGCTCTGGAATGCGAGAATCGCTGCTTGCACGAAGACCAATGACCAGCAGTCATTGAACAGGCGGAGAACAAAGATAGAATGCAGCCTTTTGCTGAGCGGTAGTAACAAAAGCGTCCAATTTGGAACCTTTGCTTTCTTATATATCGCGCATACGAGGGCGATGGATATTACGTATAGGCCGCTGTAAATCTGTTGGGCTCGCGCAATATTGCGACCAGCGTCCGTGATTAGATGAAGAAGGCGATGAATATGAACGTGTCCAGCTGGATAGCTAGTTTCGTCAAGGTAAGCGCAGTGTACTTTTCTTGGCGTCAAGTTGACTTACACTAAAGGACCTGTGGGACCTGTGATGTTGACATAGTTGCGCTCTCCTTTCAGGTACAGGTCGATGTGGACCATGTACGTTTCCCAGTCGATTTCGGTATCTGTCAGATGTGTAGGTCATGGTGTTGTGCGAGCTAGTGAGACGGGCTGACAGGGAACGAACCGCATTATGAGTTGAGTGAGGATAGCATCTCCGAGAACAACGAGAGATGCAGTAATCCAGAAATATTGCTGGTCGAATAAAAACAATCGGACATAATTGAAGAGAGAATTCCGCATGAATGGAAGATCAAGCTTAAGTTTCATCCAAGTCCTATGTATGGCGCTGGCCAAAAATGCAAAAAGTAACTGCCCCAGTGAGGCTCGAACTCACGACCTTCCGATGAAACGAGTCGTAACAGTCGGACGCTGTAACCAACTCAGCCATGGGGCACATGATTTTACAGGAACATATGACAAATATGGATCCTAGTTACGCCAATGGGTGCCGTTGACCTTCCATTTTTGGTAACACCACCTACTGTCATGTGGAGGACAGCGAGCTCAAAGATTCACTCAGAGGTGTCCTTGTCATATTGGGGCGACTTCCCATAGGCCAAATCTTATTTCTTGTTCTAATCCAAGGAATTAGGACAAAAATGGAATGTCGTCTATGTGGCAGTCCTTTTCGGTACATCTCTTGTGGTTGCACTTGAGTTAGTACCAGTGTTGTAACTTGTCAGCATATTCTTAGAAGGTGCCTTGATCATGATGGAGTGGTTTGTCATTGACAACAGGTATGTGCAGTAATAGACATTCATCCGGGTCATGACTTATGAAGAATACTTACTACTACTAAGTGATCATGTCATCAAAATCAAATGTCTGACGAATACAGTTCTCCATATCTGCCGACACTGCGTCCTAGGGAGCTATAAAGACAACTCCAGCTTCCTGCAACTTACCCTAGACCCAGAACTTCAATCCACCTGTTAGTATTCAGAATGTGTATTCGAGCCACTACATCTCTCGGTGGTACTGCATCTAATGTCATTGTCGGTAAAGTAGCTGTGTGTATGTTGCTCTTCATCCTAAAGTTTTTCCTGACCTCTTCCCTCCTAGCATGGATTGATGACGATGACGTGCATTGTCTTTTCTTCTGACATCACTGGATCAAGTTGACATCGTCGATTATGTAGAAATGCACCCAAACCAGTCCCAGACGAACAGTGTTTTGAGGCCATCAAGGCTGGCGTAGATGCCCTTCCTCCTGGCACAAAGATGTTCCTCAATGGAGGTAGGTGAAAGTCCCCCACATAAGACACGTGTCCTAAATACAGTCATAGGGGAATTCTACGGGCACAATTTCTCGACCACGAACCTCGAGATGATCGCCCGGTTCTTCGAACAGTACCCCGACTACGTAGACAAGACTTTCTTGTCTATCAAGGTAAAATCTATCCCCGCTTCTGCCTTTTTGTGATTGACTCGTTGTTTTTTTAGGGAGGACTAAAACCTGGAGAGCGACTCCCAGATGGCTCGTAAGCTTCAGTTGCACATCATCATAATAAGATGCTACCTTCATCTTCAGACCCGCCAACTTGAGACGAAGCGTCGAACTCATTAACGAGAAGCTTCGCGGCACCAAGCGCCTCGATTTGTTCCAGAGTGCACGTGTAGACCCCAATGTCTCTTTGGAAGAATCGATCAGGACCCTTGTTGAACTCAAGCAAGAGGGTAAACTAGATCATATTGGCATGTCGGAATGCAGCGCTGAAACCCTGCGGCGTGGTAATGCTGTATGTGGATAGTATGACTGTCTTTGCAAGACGTTTGCTCAGTATGTTCCAGGTGCACCCCATTGCTGCTGTTGAGATTGAGGTCAGCCCATGGGAATACGGAGAGGAAGCCAAGAAAGGTACGTCATCAGACATAATATTCTGTAATTTCTGTTGGAGTAGCTCATCTTCAATTTGGTCAGTCATTGCAACTGCCGAAGAGCTAAATATTGCTGTTATCGCATACTCGTGCGTGTCATGATAGGACACGCCTGCTTTAACCTGACATACAATCTTATTTAGCCCGCTTGGTCATGGGTTCTTGACCGGTCAAATCAAGAGGCTTGAGGACATTCCAGGTAAGACTATCGCTTTACGATATTCATCTCTCATGCTCACAACAATTTGCAGAGGGAGATTTCCGCCGTTCACTGCCTCGTTTCCAGGAAGATGTAAGTTCCCCGACATGCGCTTGATCATAACCTCATCATAACTTTACAGAACTTCAAACACAACTTTGCTATTGTTGATGCGTTGACCGCGATTGCGAGGAGCAAGAACGTCACTTCTGCTCAACTCAGCATCGCTTGGGTTGTATCGTTGGGCAAGCATGTCATCCCTTTGCCCGGTTCCTCGTGAGTCCCTGTCTAGATATGTGATTGATATGGGTCTTGACATTATTTCAGGCATGCCGAGCGCACTCGAGAGAATTGTGCTGCAGGAGATATCGAGTTATCTACGGAAGACATCACAGAAATCAACAGTGTTATCAATGCTGCTGATGTCAAGGGTGACAGGTATGCCCATCAGGCATACCTCTGGGGTTAGGTGGTTTCTTGGCTCTACATATTTGGCGAGTCGGACCAGCCAAACTGTATTTTTATCTGACTTTATGTAAAACAAACTTGAAAGTAACTTACTCAAGGTTCACGTATGTGCCTTTGCTTCTGGGAAGAGGAAACCATGTATAAAATTTGTGACTTGATGTATACGAATGCATTGAAATTTCGAAATACTTATTGAAAACTTTGTCGTGTGCACATTACATAGTTGAAACATCATGATTCGAACTCCACGGGCGACTAAAACTACTCTTCGTTAGACTTGCACAGGCCTTAACCTCTCATCAGCATCACTACATTATGACTCGCCCCGAAGCGTTCTTTTTACATGGAGTCGCCGTGGGCGTGATGACATATGGCTTTATTAGCCTCAGAACGCTACCCATGGATGCCTGGATCCGAGCACAGAAAGGTGGGCACTTCCAGTTTCTGACTATACAAGGGTGAGTGCTACCCACCCTGGACCTCTCCGCCAGAGGCTGATTCAAGCTTCTGGCAAGGCTGGCTGTCGCTTGGTTGACCATGGTCCTAAGCCTTGGCTATGATGTACTACCTTCATTCGCCGGTAAGAGGGACAGTCAACCAGCTCTTTCCACATGGAGTATGACACATTCTCCAGCCCTTCGCGCAGCTAAACGTGCTTCCCTTATGATAGCTCTCCCTGTAACTCATTTTGCCTCTCTGACGGTGTCGTTCATTGACGAATCCATCCTAGCTCACATTCGTGATATCCGCAGTGTACTGGTCACTCTTGTTGTTTTTTCCATCATTGATTCTGCAGCGCCAGCTTCCAGGACTATCTGAACCCTCTTCTTCATCGACCCTCCCTGCACTGGCACGGATTCCTTTCAACATAGATTTCTCTCTCCATCTCGCTCCCGTCCTCGCCCTTTTTGCGGACTTTATTTTCTTCGAGAAGAAATATACCAAAAAGCAAGTCCAAATTGGCTCACCACTCGTCGTCCTCGCCTGTGGGACATGGTATGCCTGTTGGGTAGAATATTGTGCTAGTTATAACCATACATGTGAGCATGTGCACCTTTCTTTGGTTACATGTTACTGAAACACCTCGATGTCTAGTTCCATACCCTTTCCTGACGGAGAACCCATTTAACATTCGTGTTGGCATCTATATATTCGTGTCCTTGCTTGCTTGGAGCTGTTTCCGCCTCATGAACGCGCTCCATCCTTAGAAGGTTATACCATCCTTATACCTTGGTGTAGAGCTAGGAGTCAACAACAGACCGTCAGGGTCCTGCATATATAATTGGTGGGGCTCAGTTCATAGATATAGATCGTCGATATCATTCGAAACACGATAATAATGCAGAGATTGTTATGAGTAGTATAACTTGATAACAATGGTCGATGAACCAATGTCGCCTTTCCGCCTATTTTAGCCAACACATTTTGGAACTATAGTATCAATTGCCTCGGACACTGCACACGAGGCTAGGTGTTACAATGTAAGATGTTCGCCCTCGCCAAGATAAGCCAACATGGATCTTATCTTTGCTTTGCACAGACTCCTCAAAAGAGGTTTGCTGAGCGTAGTGTTTTTTGATTTTCCCGACCACTGCCATACCCCGTAATAAGGCCTTTGTTGACCATATGCTGCAAGTCCCCAGGAGCTAGTCTTGAAGCATCCAGTGATTAGTATAAGACATTCCTCTCGATACCTGATTAAAAATGCTTAGCAAAATCGAACTAGCGCGCTGCAATTCCTCCAAGAATTAACGGATGGTCCCGGAGACTAGTACTGGTGTTTGGATAGCCTATGAAGGAGCAGGCCACGGTACAATGTGTATGCGACCTGAATGCACCTGTCGAAAATATTTCGGTATCCCGTGCGCTCCATCAAGAAAGTCACCAGGGTCGAGAGTGATGCCGAATAACATATTAAAAGCTGCCATGTGAAGTAATCTTGTCGAGCATCTTCAATCCTCGTTCCGACGCTCCTGTTGTCTAACACAATACACTGGACACCATCAATGATGGTGGGACTAGCGGAAGAAGCCTCCCGAGAATAAAAATCTTGCATAAACTTGGCTCTCTTCTTGATACTGGGGAAGATCTTAGTTGTTAGGACGCATCATGACAATATTGACAGGCAGCTGCCAGTGGCCACTGCTGAAGGTTCTCACGGAGCGACTGATTGTGTTTTTTGGACTGTGTCAGAGTCGCTGCCTTATAACAACATCGCCCCGACGAAGATGATGAGGTGTTAATTCTTGAAGAAAGGACCACGATGAGCTGGATCGCCCTAGAGCGCACTTGAGCATGATGGGAACTGGCAAGGTTTGAAGATCTATCATTACCTAAGCATCAATTTTTTGAATTATCTTATCGATTGGTCGAGTCACAGGCTAGAACTGCCAAAATGTAAGTCAGACAGAGATCGAGGCTCGTATTTTGTCGTCGTCCTCTTCAACATGTGTGGTATACTCGCAGTTCATGGCATAGAAAACCCAGCAGCTGAGCGCACTCGATTTTTGGCTCTCTCAAAGCGTCTTCGTCATCGTGGACCTGACTGGTCCGGGTGTTTTGTCGGAAAGGAAGGTATACTTCTTCACGAACGCCTTGCTATTGTTGGTGTCGGTACGTGACTTATCATTCATTCTATTATTGATCCTGACTTGTTGTGGGTTAAGACACGGGTGCTCAACCCCTCGTCAGCGAGGATGGTCAGGTCATACTTGCTGTCAACGGTGAAATATATAACCACCTAGCACTTCGTGCGACCCTCAGTTCAACTGCCAGTTTCAAGACACATTCTGATTGCGAGGTCATTATTCCTCTGGTTCGTTATTTCATACATCCGTCTGTAGCAATCACTAACGATCTGCAGTACAAAAAACATGACAAGGATCTTTGCAGCATGCTCGACGGCATGTTTTCATTCGTACTTTTGGATGAGTCTGTGAATCCTACTAGAGTAATTGCTGCCCGCGACCCCATTGGTATCACAACATTATACCAAGGATGGAGCTCGAGGCACCCTGGTGCAACGTATTTCTCTTCAGAGTTAAAAGCTCTCGTCGATGAATGCGACACGATTATTTCATTCCCCCCTGGTCATGTCTACGACAGCCGTGACCAGTCAACGACACGTTATTTCCAGCCCTCGTGGTGGGATGGAGATGCAGAAACGAACGCTGTGCTCCCGACCACTCCTGTAGATTATACCCTTCTCCGGGAAACCCTGGAAGCTGCAGTGCGAAAGCGTCTTATGTCTGAGGTGCCTTATGGTGTTCTCCTTAGTGGTGGATTGGACAGTAGCTTGATCGCTTCCATAGCTGCAAGGGAGACAGAAAAGGTTGCTCGAGCTCAGTACGAAGCTCGGCAGCGCAAGCTTGCTGAGTCTACCAGTGGCCCTCCAACGCCAAGGATGGACGATCTGACACAGCAGGGTATGTGCCCTGAGTTCTGCTCTTTATCTCCAGGCTGAAAATCGCCATAGCTATGCTGGCTTCGTGGCCACAACTGCATTCATTCTCAATAGGACTGGAGAACTCGCCTGATTTGCTTGCTGCCAGGAAAGCAGCACACTTCCTGGGAACCGTGCACCACGAATATGTTTTCACAGTCCAGGAGGGCCTGGACGCCATCCCAGACGTCATTTATCACCTCGAGACCTATGATGTGACAACCGTTCGTGCAAGCACACCAATGTACCTTCTCAGCCGGAAAATCAAGGCGATGGGTGTTAAGATGGTTCTTAGCGGAGAGGGTAGCGATGAAATTCTTGGCGGTAAGATATATCGATTTTATCGCCACGAGCTTGATTAACGCGCTGTTCAGGCTATCTGTATTTCCATGCTGCTCCAGACAGTAACTCTTTCCATCAAGAATGCGTTCGACGCGTCAAGAATCTTCACACTGCTGACTGCTTGCGTGCCAACAAGTTAGTTTTGAGGATCTCACTTTTCCTCGGATCACTGACAGATCCGCACATAGGTCAACAATGGCCTGGGGCTTGGAAGCTCGGGTACCTTTCCTCGACAAGGCTTTTTTGGAAGTTGCCATGAACATTGACGCGAAGGAAAAGATGTTTAGGAAGGACTCAAACCAAGCGGTTGACGAAGATGGTCGTCCGAAGATGGAGAAGGTCAGCTGGTCCGTTGACTATTTTCGGACATTCATGCCTCATTGTTTCCGCACAGTACATCCTTCGGAAAGCCTTTGACTGTAGTCCAGAGGGGACGGTCTGTCGATCCCGATAATTTCCACACTTACTTTGCTCATCCTCAAACTTTAGCCTTATCTCCCAAAGTCTATCCTGTGGCGCCAAAAAGAGCAATTCTCAGACGGCGTTGGATATTCTTGGATAGACGGGTTAGTCTACACGTTTTCCTATCGGTAGCGAGATACGCGGACTGATGGACTTCGATCGCAGCATTAAGGATAACGCAGCCGCCTTTGTTTCTGATAAAGACTTCGCTAAGCGTGCAGAACGTTGGTCAGTCGATACCCCAGATACAAAAGAAGCCTATTATATTCGAGAAATATTCGACGGTAAGCGATATCTAGAAGTAACCCGATTTGAAGTACGCGTCCTCATGTTCCCCAGGTCTTTTCCCCTCTGAGGCCGCAGCGAAGACTGCAGTACGGTAAGTTTAGGTCAACTCTCTTTTTTGGGTTTTTTTTTTTGAGTTCTATCGACCCAGCTGGATACCACGAGGCGACTGGGGATGTTCCTTGGACCCGAGCGGGCGTAGCGTCAGCATTCACAACGCGGCATACGAAAAAGACTAAATCGATCAAAATGGTGTCATACAATAGATAGCGAAGACACACGAAAGTGTACGCGATTAAAACTGTATATAGTGTGGTAACTGCATCGTAGTAGCTCTGGACCCTAAGAACAAAGGGGAGCATATCTCAAGTACTTTGGATGAAATCAAGTATGATTGGATGACTGTCAATTGTTCGATGTTTGTGTTCCAAATAGAGAATGTGATAAAGATTGAAGGAGCATGAGGGAGGGAAGAACAACGAGAGTGATAAGGTATCATCAAATAATTGCGTACCGACTCTGACATAGCAGGAGGAAGAGATAAGAGACGCAAGAGCAAGGTGAATGATGAATGAATGTGTGTCGGCTGCGCGATGAGGGTAAGGAAGTAATAAAGTAAGAGAGTGCAATATGCAATGATGAACGCCATGAATGATTGTAGTGAAGATGGGCGAACGAGGAAAGCTAGCGGAAATCTAGACCTGATTGATGATAGCAAGAGGTCAGACTACGTGACCAGTGATGGATCTTGCGCCACTATTTGACGGTACAAGCCCACCCCCGAGTCTTCAGATCCAACAGGTGAGACTTGCGGTTTAGTAGTGGTGGAGGTTGCACGGACGGCTCCACTCGTTTGTGAGGTCTGGCGTGATCGTTTCATGCCAGGGGCATGCGGATTGCCGCGAGTGCTCATGTCCCAAGCGGGTCGCGTGACGGTAGCCTTCATAGAATGGCTGTCTTCTGAAGCGTTCACACGTGTCCGCGTGCTGGGTGTGGTTTGAGTTCGCCGGCTCATGGGGCGTGTAGAATGAGGGGGGTGATCGGCCGAAGCTAGACGAGTCCCAAACTTAGCGTTCGCAGAGGACTCCCTGCTATAGGAGGACGTGCCGCCTGGAGATACACGACGTGTTGAACCAACGCCGCCATGTTGCCTGGGCTTGAGAACAGGTTTCTGGAGGGTGATCCTGTCTGCACCCCAGTATGAGAAGCTCATTTTGCTCTTCTTGTCCGAGTCGTCTGACTCTCCCTCGCCATCTTCCTCATCGTCAGGGAGAGGGACGATCTTAGGCTGCGCAGCAGACCGTGCTTCTGCTTTGGAACGTACGACGCTACAAACTGCTCAGCAGACATCAGTGACACGAGCACAAAACACATACTCTTCCATAGAGACAACCCCTTCCTTGGGTTGGACGACATCTCCAATCGCCCAAGTCTCGATCTATGCCATATTGAGAATAAGTCAAATAGTGTGATCGGCGCTTTACCTTGAGAAACTTGTACATGTTCCTGGGCTTCGTGTGCGAATTTCTCCGCCCTGTCGAGGCATACTTTGACTTTCCCTGCATCTCTGGTAACGAAGTCGCCCTCGAGTTCGTCCCTGAGACCAAAGGTAACGATGTCGTCCCCGTGCGCTGGCACCGTAAGACGACATCATTAAATACCACAAGCCAGAGGTCCTTCTTCCCCCCCATGCCTGAGCCCGTGCCCAGCACGTCACTCAGCCGGCGGAATGAATTCTTGCCCTTTACGCCCTTGGCGTTTACGACTGGTGGGGGGCTTGACCCTGAGCCTTTTGACAGACCTGAGTCGTGCAGCGACCCAAAAATCTGCCGTTCCTCCAGCAGCAACCTCGATGGCTTCGGGATCGCAAGCTGCTTCACCTTATCAAGCCCCTCGATGCGGGCAAACACATCGCGCGTCTTGTCACGGTCCTCTTTCTGGATCTTCTCGTCCTCGATGCTGCGTACGATCGTCTCAACTTCTGCGACCATCTGCAGAGTACTCTCATACTCAAACGTGCTCGGGTCTGTGTGGAAGAGTAGGTTTTGGAAGAGTAGAGGGTATTTGAGGAGGCGCTGGAAGGGCTTTGAGAGGGTGATAGCAAGCCCGGTTTCACCTTTATCGGCCGCCAGCTCTTCCAGCCGCTGCAGGGACTTGCAAACTTTGAGCCATTCAGCGGCATCTTGGTTCTTGGGCTTCTTGGCAGCGCTTGCGGTACTCAAAGCGTTATCCACCTGCTCAAGTGCACGTTCAAGATGTAAGACGTATGTTGCGTAGCCTTGGAAGATATGTGACTAAAGTAGCATGAGCATATTGCGTCAAAGAAGAGTTCTGACACTCACACTCGAGACAAATACATCCGCGAGGGACCGGACAAGAGGGTATTGTTCCTCGTACCGCTTCAACAGGCCTTCGCTGAGCTTAACATGTCCATCAAGCACGCCGCTTTCAATAACTTCAAGGCATATGCGTAGATCCTCAGGCAGGAGGTGCGGAGGGACTGCATTCTGGAGAGGACTACTGGCCTGTGAGGTCGAGCGCTTGAACTTGCGCAATACCCGAGCGCCTTGTGGAGGAGTGGTCTTGGCACTGTCTTTACGCTCCCGCTCCTTATCCTTGTCTCCCAGTGATTGAGAGGAAGCCGTAGCGAGCTTGCGCTGAGGTGCGGGAAGGGATGCGTGCGAACGGGAAGGGAAAGGGACAATATCGTGTAATTTCGTTGCTCTACCACCACTGCCTCCCCCATGATATGGAGAGCGAGTATGGCTTGGACTAGCATGATTAGTTTGCAGCCCCTCGCCTAATACGTCCCCAGCATCCTCATCACTTTCATCATCAATTTGAGGTGTCGTGGTAGCGAGGCTGCGACCATCTACAGGTTTTGGAGCTGCATCCGCAGGCTTAGAGGCTCCATCAGCACGGAAGCCAAGTGGGCTCATGAAACGAGCAGCGATGGGTAAGACGTCGATCGATTCCTGTGGTGACTCAACCCTGCCATAGTCATCGTACTCGTTGAATGGAGTCGGTGTAGGGCTGACAGGAGGCGGCGTGGCGTAAGGGTGGAGAAGGGGCTCTATGAAGGATTCTTTCATTTTTGTGAGGTCATTTACGTATCTGTAGCGAATACAACGATCGCATCAGGATCAATGGATCAGTGTGTGGAGGAGCAGCGCACCGCTCTTCAGAAGCCACGATTTCCCAGAGGACTTCTTGACGAGTGCGTTCACGGGGACCAAGGTTGCTGACAAGGTCTTCTTCTGCAGCCTCGCTCCATGAGGTGACTGCGAGAATGCGGCTGCTGGCATTGGACATCTGAGAATAGGGCGTGGTGGAGCGCATTGAACCTGGGTAAGGGGAGACTGCTGTGCGTGTACTCGTGGCTTTTGCAGGATTGGTTGATGAAGTAGGGGCTACAGTGGTAGACGTGGATGGAGAAGAGATGGCAGTAGTGGTAGTAGACTTTGCAGCGAGGTCAGTGCGTGATGTTGAGGCGGCTGTGGAGATTGAGCCACGCGTGTCTTTGCCATGTGTCGCCTGAAAACGCGACACGGTGGTTTTGAGCGGGGCGCCCGAGGGCGTCTGAACGATTTGAGAGGGGCTGGGTACCGATGTATCCGGAAGTTGGGTATTAAGAGGCGAGGGTGTCGGAGGGGGTGAGAGGAAGGCTACCTTTTTCTGTACGTCGTTTGATGTGGTACTACCATTTGCCTTGCGACGATTTGCAGGGTCCGAGTCGTGTGTAGACGGGGAAATGGTAAGGCCGACGCCACTGTCGTCGTCAAGGGGCTCCTCGATTGGAGGTAAAGGGCGAGCACAGATGTCGGGAAGTGGTTTATGCGATGAAATTGAAGTAGGAGTTCCTGCACTGGTATTGACTGTACCTGCACTACTGGAGCGTTGCATTTGAATCAAGCTGGGAGAAGCGACATGTCTACTACTGGCGTCGATTGCTGGTCTACCGACAGGCTCGATAGAGAGCCTCTCATTGGTAGGAGGCCAGGTTGGGAGTGGTGGAAGTTGAACTAGCTCACGCTTTTCTCGGTTGGGGGGTGAGTGGGAGTTGGTAGAGGAGTTGTCGCTGCGGTCCTTGGTCAAAACAGAGAGATTGTCACGATCTTTTTCTTTCTCTTTTTCCTTGTCCTTGTCCTTGTCTCTGTCCCTGTCCTTTGATGACAGGCCTCTGTTGAACCTGTTCAGAAATGCTTTCATGGCCGTGGGGCCAGAATGAAAGAATGATAGTGACTAGAGCAAAACAAGTTGTGGAGCAGTGAAAGTGAAAGGTGATTACAAGCAGTGACTGGCAGACAGTTAAACTGAAGTTGTTTAATGCTGTACTAAGATGTTGTCGGTAGCTAGGATCACGACCGTTACAGTAGTCCCTCATGTCGGACTCATGGTACTTAATAATAATATCCTTTCATGGCTAACCCTTTACATACACAAACTCACGCGGATGCACCCTCGTGTTCATCGTCTCTCGGATGCGGCAAACAACCAATGATCTCCTTGTAGAACTCGCTGTAACCACAAGGTATATATATCTCCTTTCACTCGACTGTCAGTCCGGGATCATCTAAATCGCTCGCCCTCGGAACACCGTAGTCGGCAGTTTTCCTGATGGCCCGTGTCCTGCCTCACCTTAGATGACAGCAAGAATACTGAATTCATCATACTTTCAAATTTCTAGATACGACCTACGCAGAAACTCACTATTGGAACCAACTCGAAAAGGTCGTGATGCCGCCTCCGAATCAGCAACTCACTTGATTGTGCTTGCATCCAACTTGCACCTCCCACATTCAGTCTGGAAGTTCGATATCCTCTCCATCGTACCTCCGAGTGACAAGACTCTTAGGAACCGACGTGAGGTGTACATCCTGCAACGGAGCATTCTTTTGAACGTTTCCTGTCAAGCAATGACGAGGTACATCCTCAATAGCGCACCGAGTAGTTACCATGCTCGTATGATTCCCGTTTGTATCTGATCAAGAAGTTCTCTTTGTGCTCACATGTTCCACAGCTCCAAGTGGTCCATCAGAGAACCGGTGGACAGATTCTTTCTCATTTCATGGCATGCAGCCACAAACAGTGATTTCCCGGATATCCTCCATTACCGTAACTTGACACTGAATTTCGATACCATCGTACGTATATGCAACCGGAATCATCGGCGTGAGTGTCCATAAGATGCCAACCGCACGTTCGCCCTACTGCATATCTCAGGACTGCAGTTCTAAACAATACACCGAACTTTTACTTACTAGCTGACGAGTTCACAAGGGATATGTTGCTTGATGTACTAATTACAGAATCAAAGATGCCTTCACACTAGGGCGGCCCAGGCAGTGTTCAAATCTACTCTGTATCGGATTAAGGATATATATTAAACTCGATATAGATAAGTCACTTTGCCGGAGTGGTTAACGGGATCGCCTGCTATACAGCGAAGCGGTTGGGCTTTGCCCGCGAGTGTTCGAATCGCTCAGGTGACGCATTTTTTGACCGATTCGAGACAAATTTTTGCTATGGATTGAACTTAGCCGAGCGTGAATTACGAAAGTTCCTCTGAGATACCGGTTACTGACGGTTACCGAACAGGCTCAAAAACTTTTTTTTAAGTCGCAACCGTCAAAGCTTAAGAGTAGAGTAAACTGTCACCGCTGAGTGATATTTTAACATTTCAATCCGCACTCGTTGCTCTCAAATTCACCCTACTGCCTGGAGAGGTTTAGTCAGTTTGATGATGTGGCAATGCGGATAGGACCTGGTTTTTGATTGAATCACCTGCGCAGTTTAATTTAAATAATCTCGCACAGCGAATGAAGCATATAAAATATTAGAGCGACTTCTGGAGCCAGTTTTATCTAGTACGAGCCTACAATGGTCGCTCCCATAGTCAATACAGGAATTCAGACGTCGAAGGTAAGAATTCTTTTCAGATCAGGTTTATTGACCACAACTACTCTATAGTATTGCAATGGTACGTGAATTTTAAGCTGAGAGTATACACCATCCTCATTCTGAATATGTGCAGTGGCTGGTCTAGGAGCTTTGGTATGTCTACACGCCATGGACGATATCTCTTCTTATGCTCCATAGATTTTTGACTATTTCTTAACATTCGAACGTGAGGTGAGTATTTTCTTCATAGAGTTCGAACATCTCTTTGACAAATGTTGCAAGGTTCGATGGACATGGAACAGGCGCTGGAACATCGCTCGCATTCTTTTTGTAATTTCACGTTACATGGCCTTTGTAGCAGCTGGCATGACTTCATACGGTAATCAGCTACCCGTATCTCCTGGCGCGGGACATTGACAAATGACTAGCTGCTATTGCTACACGAGTAAACGACAATGTCTGTGTTTTGCTTATGTGGTCGTTGAATGAACTCAAGGACATCGAATACTTACAGTGCTCGCACTACAGCACGGCATCAAATGGTGATCGATATCTTGAACAGTCAGCGCCTTGTCACTGATTTTCACTGCAGCAATTCACATCCTCAGTATTGTAGCTGCTGAAGGTTCGCTTCATGCTCCACTGTCTTCTAGGCTTGAAATATATATATTTCCTATACAGGTCTTTTGGTCATTCGTACATATGCGTTCTGGAAGCAGAACAATAAGCTCTTGGCAGTGTTACTGGTCTTAGCAGCAGTACGTTGGTCTAGCCATGCGTGCTCATTCTCATCTTCTGTTGATGTCGCAACGTAGATTTGCATCGCGTGTGCCGCCGGTGTCACACGAGTTGTCAATAATATAGTAGCACAACCAAATTCTTCAGTTGTTTTTGCCTTTTTGTTCTTTCCTTGTTGTAGTTGACAATTTTTATTTTCAAGATGCCCTCACAAGCAACTGCATCTTTGAAGCAGGTCGCAGCAGCGCCATTCAGTACGGCTTTCTTGTAGCCTACGAACTGTGTAAGGATATCTCCTTTTCTTTTTTTTTGGCGCGATTTTCCAATTACATCAACCTAGTTCTGATGTCTTTAATGGTATTCAAGAGATATCAAGACTACAGAGATTCCGACAGCCGTCTAATGAGAACCTTCTTCCAGGGCACAGTGCAGTATATGACTGCCATAATTCGTGCGGTGACCTTTTGTTCAATTTAGTATGTCCTGTGCTCAAGCCCTTATTCCAGTTGTTTCTGTAGCCAATATATTAATCATTTCTGTGGTGCCGGTAGGTTGCATGATACATCTGCTCATTTGAGAAAATTTGCTGATTTCTGGAAGCAATCATATGATGAGATGATGGACTTGTGCGTGGCAAATCATTTAGAAAGGTCTGATGAACGAAAAAAAAACTGATGCATCATGACAGGCCACAACTTGTCCTCCACAGTGTGTTGGCATCCCGTGTATTGTTTAGTCTGCGAGAAAGTGATCACGAAACCGAAAAGACATCATTGCAACTTGATTGATTATCCTACAGTTACTGTATGTCCCGTCAGAACGTATACGTAGTATAAAATAGATACCGCCTATCAAGGGCACCAAACTGCAGGAGATTGTCACGAAGCTCATCTGGTTTCCCTGTTTTCCATCTGCACTATCATCTTCTAGATTGCTATTTATCTCTTCCAGTGAAATCATTCATCTGTCCAGTACTTCTGACGGGACAGAATTAGCCCCTGAAGTTCTTGTAGATGCTTAGATCAAATGTTGAGTGTAGGTAAAAGACGGCGTGCCTGCGAGACTACCCCATCCCTCGAGTAGAAGGCAAGCGAATCAAGTCTAACAATATTTGTCTTTCATAAAGCAGCACAAAATCAAATAGAAATACAGTTCGGCTGGTCCGACTCGCCGGGTATGTAGAGCCAATGAACCATCTAACCCCAGAGGTATGCCTGATGGGCATACCTGTCACCCTTGACATCAGCAGCATTGATAACACTGTTGATTTCTGCGATGTCTTCCGTAGACAACTCGATATCTCCTGCAGCACAATTCTCTCGAGTGCGCTTGGCATGCCTGAAATAATGTCAAGACCCATAGCAACCACATATCTCGACAGGGACTCACGAGGAACCGGGCAAAGGGATGACATGCTTGCCCAACGATGCAACCCAAGCGATGCTGAGTTGAGCAGAAGTGACGTTCTTGCTCCTCGCAATCGCGGTCAACGCATCAACAATGGCAAAGTTGTGTTTAAAGTTCTGTAAAGTTGTGATGAGGTTGTGATCAAGCGCATGTCGGGGAACTTACATCTTCCTGGAAACGAGGCAGTGAACGGCGTAAATCTCCCTCTGCAAATTGTTGTGAGCATGAAAGATGAATATCGCAAACCAATAGTCTTACCCGGAATGTCCTCGGGCCTCTTGATTTGACCGGTCAAGAACCCACGACCAAGCGGGCTAAATGAGATTGTGTGTCAGGTTAAAGCAGGCGTGTCCTATCATGACACGCACGAGTATGTGATAACAGCAATACCTAGCTCTTCGGCAGCTGCAATGACTGACAAAATTGAAGATGAGCTACTCCAACAGGGATTACAGGATATTATGTCCGATGACGTACCTTTCTTGGCTTCCTCTCCGTATTCCCATGGGCTGACCTCAATCTCGACAGCAGCAATGGGGTGTATCTGGAACATACTGAGAAAACGTCTTGCAAAGACAGTCATACTATCCACATACAGCATTACCACGCCGCAGGGTTTCAGCGCTGCATTCCGACATGCCAATATGATCTAGTTTACCCTCTTGCTTGAGTTCAACAAGGGTCCTGATCGATTCTTCCAAAGAGACATTGGGGTCTACACGTGCACTCTGGAACAAATCGAGGCGCTTGGTGCCGCGAAGCTTCTCGTTAATGAGTTCGACGCTTCGTCTCAAGTTGGCGGGTCTGAAAGTCAAGTTAACTCATCATCATCATCATGAGCAACTGATACTTACGAGCCGTCGGGTAGTGGCACTGCGCCAGGTCTTAGTCCTCCCTAAAAAAAGTCAATCACGACAAGGCGGGAGCGAGGACAGATTTAACCTTGATGGACAAGAAGGTCTTATCTGCGTAGTCTGGGTACTTTTCGAAGAACCTAGCGATCATCTCGAGGTTGGCAGTCGATAAATTGTGCCCGTAGAATTCCCCTATGACTGGATTGAGGACACATGTCTTATGTCGAAGACCTTTACCTACCTCCGTTGAGGAACATCTTTGTGCCAGGAGGAAGGGCATCCACGCCAGCCTTGATAGCCTCAAAACACTGTTCGTCTGGGACTTGGTTGGGCGTCCATCTACATAATCGGTCAACGATGCGAGCTTGATTCGATGATATCAAGAAAATGAAATGCACGTCATCATCATCAATCCATGCTGGGAGGAAAAAGGTCAGAAGGAACTTTTGGATGAAGAGCAACATACATACAGCTACTTTACCGACGGTGACGTTAGATGCAGTACCGCCGAGAGAGGTAGTGACTCGAATACACATTCTGAATACTAACAGGTAGATTGAAGTTCTGGATCTAGGGTAGGTTGCAGGAAGCTGGAGCTGTCTTTATAGCTGCCTAGGAAGTACGCGTTAGTTGCTGGCCGAAACGTTACGCAGTGTCGGCAGATATGATTATTGAAAGGGGGGAACTTTCTGTAACCACCACCGTGACGTAGGCTGTACTTGTCATTTTGGTGACGTAAGCTGCATCGGCAGAAACGTTGCTCGACCTAAATATAAAAGTTTGTTGAGAAAGTGGATCATAGGAAAGAGCTATCAGCTACCCTAGGAAGACCTCCTGCCGCGGTTCCGAACTTACCACACCGCGATTTGTAATCCTGGTAACGCTCCGGTAATGTAGAAACCCGCGAATTGTCTACACGTTCTCTCATCCCTGTACACCCCAGTTTTACTTTCACGGATTTGGCCAATCGAACTTCCCTTCTCGACACTAGGACTGCTAGTTATGGTGCCGGACTAGGGAAGTTTCACAGGTTCTGCGACATTTTTCGATTCCTGAGCACGACCGGACGGCATCCTTGAAACTATTGCACTCTTTCGCCTTGTGGACTGTCACGGACCCTGATCCTAACAACCCACTCTTAAGTGCGGAGGGTACCTTTGAACCAGTCGCTCGAATATCTCTCAGTCGTACGAGCCTGGCATATCATTCAAGGGTAGCTGCCATTTCTATCAGATCCGTGCCACGACCGGGTAAATTGGTCGCTGCGGCGGTGTCTAAAGCCACTCTAATGCCTTCAGCTCTCAGAGTAACCCTCGTATTCACCTTACTCGACGCAATGCATTCTTCAGCCATGACCTTCGAAATAACCCTTACGCTCGTCTGTCTTCCTCAACGAGCGAAGATGGAAGCCATGCAGCTTTAGAGCAAATTTGCGACGGCCAGCCTTCACGTACATGTCGATGGCACGATTTGAAGTTGCACAATACAAGTCATAAAAAGCCTGCTTGTCCCCAATAGTTAGTATGATCTCGTGATTGCTTATCCGCCGCATCGATGAGCGTTTATTGATTTGTTCTAATGCAAAGCAGTTTCTTCTATATATGTTGTTGCAAAAGGCGGTTTTCTGGGCAAATGACCTACTTTGATGCCAATCATATCGAGCTGCAAAGAAAATCAGGGTATGGCAAGAGTCTCATCAATGATATCTGACCTGAGTCTTGGCTAATTCAAGAAGTTCACCTTTATTCGCACTGAATCGTGCAAGCTGAATGTTATCCAGTTCTGTCGCAGTAGCACGCGATAGGCGGGTAGTCGCACCGGTCTCGCTTGTCAATATTAAAATCTGTCTTTATTTTATCAAGGACGGAGGTCTTCATGTTGAAGAACTTGCGGTCTGTGGTCTTGACATCAGAACGAACGACATGCACAATGATCCATTTTGATTCTTCCGCTGGGATATGGAAGAATGCCAGTCTTTGATCTGTTTCTTCACATTTGTCTTGTACAAGTCGTTATCCTGAATATCTTGTCAGGTAACCGCTACCACTGGTTCACCATGTTTACCTCGCACGTTACAACGTAAAGGTTGAGTAAGGGCTTTTCTAACAGAGTGATTGGTACTTGTGACGTGTGTTCATCGCGGAGAGAATCCAAAGGAACAAGAGTAAGTTCAAGTTCCTGAACGGTTTTGAGATTCGGTCGGGAAGCTGACTTCCAGTGAATGCTCCGAAGTGGTAGCTGAGATTGCAAGGCAGCTAGCATTTGCCTCCAACTCTCTGAGGCCAGAAACGACACTGGCGCAGAGTATGTCACTAGGACATTCTGATTAGACATCCGAAGGTGCCGAGAGTTGCTATACTGTGGACGCAGCGAAGAAAGTACAACAGCCGGTATACACTGAACGTCGGACGAAGTCCTGCCAAATCCTAAGCGCTGGATGACGATGGTAATATTACGTCACGTCCGTTTAGCGTTAGCTCAGGACCGTGTAAAATTGGCAGAACTTGCGTTTCACAAAACGTCCTCCTTCATTGACTCCTTCGACACTCCCCACCGCAACGTACGCTAATGATGAAAAACGGTTCAGCAAATCCATCCCGTAAAATGCGCAAGCGTGGCTCAATTGACGTCGTGGACGCAAAGGTCGCAGTTGACCTTGCCACAGCTCAGACATATTCTGAAAATGTCTTTCTTTTCGTGCCTAACCTCATCGGTGCGATAGCTCTGCTGTGTTGATATATTATGCGCTGATTCAGATATTTGGGTCACATAGGGTACACGCGCGTCATCCTTGCTGGGCTTTCGCTCCACTTTATGAGCTATCACCCTAAATATTGCACTCTTGCATATGTAATATCATGTCTATTGGATGCTGTGGACGGTCAGGTTGCACGAGCCCTAGGACAAACATCGAAATTTGGTGCAGTGTTGGACATGGTCACGGACCGGTGCGTCATCTCTTCCTATCATTCCTCCAAACGCCTCCTGCCTTATCTCACAACGCGCACTTCTAGCTGTACGACATCATGCTTGCTCTGCTATCTATCGTCTGCATACCCGAATTTCGCCATGGTGTTCCAGTTTCTTATCGCGCTTGATTTTGCTAGTCATTACATGCACATGTACAGGTGCGTTCTGAGCCTTCGTTCTTGCTTATCCAGCCCTCACCGAATATCATTCAGCTCACTCGTAACTGGTTCGCGGAGCCACAAGCTCGTGACAAGTGAAGTCAGTCGTATCCTATGGTACTATTATAACGATTCCGTGCGTTTTCCTCCGTTCGCACGGTATGGCAGCCTAAATTGATCCCGTGCGTAAAATAGCGTACTCTGTTCTTCATGTGCGCAGGCAACGAGCTTTTCTTTGTCTCTCTATACCTCATGAAATGGGTACACACACCTATCGGGCTCGGCGTCTACTCCTCATGGCTCGCGGATCTCACCTGGCCCGAACTCGTCGCGATCCCCAGCGCATTCGTCTGTGCAGGGAAGAACATTATTAATCTCGTACAGCTCTGGAAGGCGTCGAAGATCCTCGTAGGGGTGGACCTTGCAGAGCGTGCGCATGCTCGTGAGGTCCAGGCTAAGAAAGAGTGAAATGGGTTCTTGGACGGACAAATATCATACATACTAGTACATATGCTGCTTTGTGCATAATGCCAATGGGACGGTGTAATCGCATTCCTTGTTTTTAATATAGTAAGCTTAGAAAAGATAACTAACTCGATGTCTAACTGCAGACTACGCCAGTCTTCAACGACACTGAATCTTTTTGATGCGGTACGCGAAGGATGGTCCAAGCGGAATTTGCCGCCGAATATACGCGTCTTAAGCATAGGGGGTCGGTTGTCTTTGTCTAGGAAATGGTAAGGATCCACAGTAGGAAGGGGAGACCATACGAGGTGCACGAGGACGGCGCGGTTACGCTTGCCCACCTCAAACCACCCGCATCCGAAAAACCAAAGTATAAGTCATATTCATATTAAACAACTTAATTAACTAATATCACTAGAGCAAGTCATGGAGGCAGATGGACCATTACAAAAGAAAGTGAGGGGTATACGACTCAGTCATGTCCGTCTTCACTAATTACCATAACCCTGCTCCTTCAACCAGACGAACTTGACTTTACTGGATGCTGGCTGAAGTACACACCCACACCGATGCCAACAGCTGCCAGTATGATGATGATGGTGAGCCAGAAGCAGATCCAGCGTTTTCGTCGGGCAGAGCGGGCGTGTTTAACTGCAACCTCGGTGTGCTTTTGCCTGCAAGGAAATTAGTGGGCATGCGCATACATAGGTAATCATAAAAGCTGCATACCCTCCCTCGGTGTCATGTGCGACACCTGCAGCTGCCGTCTCGATGGCGTCAATTTTCTCTTCTTGCTCGCCTAGAAGGGTGGCCATCTGAAATATGATGAGTATCCTTAGCAAATACATCGTACATGCAAGGATTGCACCTACATCATTAAATAATTGAGCCAGCTCTCCGAGGGTCTGCTCAATCCGGCGAATGTCTTGGTGTCGTTCCTGGACTTCTCGATATGCAGCCCGTGAGTCCCCGTATCGGTTTGACGAAGTGAGCTGTGCAGCAGAGATAAACAACACACTGCTCTTCTAAGAGGATAAAGGCTCACTGCTTGCGCAAAGATTTGACTTCCCCCGCCTTGGTCATCATTCACCACGGCAGCAACTTCGTCAGGCGTAGCACCGGGTTTCACTGGGTATTTAAATTAAAATGTGTATGAAAGAATAGGAAATGAATATACCTATTTTGAACTGTCGCTCCACACGCTGACGGTACTGCTGGCGATACTGGCGTTCAACATCCTGGTACCGCTGCAAAGTGGCCATAAATTTTGTCCGAACGACATCAATCTGACGACTACGTCAACAGCTGTGTAATACAGAATGGAAGGGTGACATACTCTGTTCTTGCGAATTTGAACATCCGGGCCTGCACCAGCGGGTTTCTCAAGGGCACGGATACGGCTAGCGAGACTGTTGCTAAGCTGCCTGGTCTCGTCTGTAAGGCGTTCGAGCTGAGTTGCGTTTGCTTGTGTTGCTGCATCATCCAGGGCGTTTAGGGAACGTGAGTGGAATTCAGCGACGCGAGTGACATTGTCATCAAAGTCTTGGATAGAGTCTTGAATGGCGGTGGCCTAGATTGAAATGCAGGTTCGTACCTAGAGAGATAATAGTTGAAAGAATAGACATACCTCGGCATAAAAGGCGGACAAAGGGTCTGTTCCTGTACCATTCCCAGTGCCGTTTGCAGAAGGTGAGGGGTGTGCTTGCATCTCATAGTCCCCCTGTCCCGGATCTGGTGTAGCATTCTGCCGTTGCGCCTAGAAAAAGTGTCCGTCAGTATGTTTTAGCATGAATACTAGAAAGTGAATACTCTGAGAGCAGCCAGTCTGTCGCGACCCATATTTCGTGATAAAATCCCAGAGTGGTTGATGTGAACACGCGCACGGCCGCAGTGAAGGTTCCCGTTATTACGTGAGAAACGAATTCAAGTTAGTTGGCTTGGTACACGTTGTAAGGTCGTTGCAATTGTAGACGATGGCAGTTATAATGATGAGAAGAGTAGTACTCATCAAAGACTAATATAATAGAATGAAATCTAAGTGACAGTCGCAACCGACCACTGAGAAAAGAAGTTGTTTGTTGTCTGAACAGCTTGACATCGGACCAGCATGCGAACACCTACTAGCAGTGCTTTCATTCAAAGGTCGCGCTCACTGTTCAAAGCAACGTCGACGCACAAGAGTATCTATCCTACTATCCGGCTGGAACGTATTTCACGAAAAGACGGAACACCGCCAACACAGCGTGTGTACAAGCGTCTTGCTTCATTTACTCCACCAGCTAGTACGAGTCCAGATACACCAGAACCGTCTGCTGCTGGTCCTGTACCTCCGGAGGAATCTGATTCAAAGCCAACAAGACGGGCGCGGATATCCCCAACTGCTTCGGGCTCTCCGTCTACTCCGCCAGAGGACATCATACAGCTTCCTCACGACTTGAACATCCTTTGGCTTCCAGACGATGGTCCAGCAGAAACTGATTTCTTGAAAAATAACAATCTACCTGCCCCAGAGCTCTTTGAAGAAGCACTAACTAATCTGCATATTACCTTTCATCCCCAGACCCAGCATAGAGCGGCCTATCCATCTCCTTCAGGTCCTCCATTAGAGCCTACCCTTGCCCTTTATTGTCCAATAGAGGGTGGTGAATATATAATTGATGCCACCGTAAAAGAGCTTGCTCACAGGACCGGCGCTGAAGTCCTCGTTATCGATGCTGTCCAGCTTGCTGCTGGTGAATGCGGTCATTTTGGCAAAGGTGCACATCAATTCTATAATGGACACCCGTTTATCTAACACTGCACTTCATCAGCTGCAAATGTCCTCCAACTCCCCCGCAATCCCCTCCATTTCCAGCCCCCACTTGCCTCGAATTCCCAATCCTCTCCCCTTCGCGCCTCACCCGAAGAAGAAGACGACGACATGGACATGATGTCTCCAATTGCTATTCCTTCTCAAATGACCCTTCACCTTCTCGCACCCACTTCAACACGTGGACGCACCTCCGTACTTACCGCCTCTCGCAGCAATCCTGCGCCAAATCGTATTAAAACGTTCTTCGATGAACTCGTTAATCTGCCTTCTCCAAATGATACTAGCACGGCTAGTACAAACAGCAGGCGTCGTCCACGTATCGTCTACGTTCGCGACTTTCCTGTCCTCGCGCCTGCGTCTGCAACTTGGTACCCTCACTTACTTTCAGCCGTCCGCCAGCGCCGCATCGGCCCTCTCGCCCGCCCATCGTCCCCCGTGTACAACCCAATGACAATAATCTTCGGCATCACCCCACCCATCGCGCCCACACATGTGTCTGCGCCCATGTCTGCGTCCTCCGCTGGTTCAAGTCAATACGGCTTTGTGAACGTAGCAGGACGCCGGAGGTCGCCACACGCCGCAGCTGCTACGCCTCCACGATCAGGTGTCGCCGACTGGGGTGAAGACGACGTTGCCGAGCGTGCCCGTGAAAAACGCCTCAAGGACCGGCTACGGCGTTGGGAGAAAGACGGGGACACTTCTCTACTCCAGGACCTCCCTGTGCTCTACACCCGGCCTGCAGAGCCCGAGGGGGAACATGGGCCTCGAGGTGTTGTTGTCATCGGAGGATCGTCCATGCCGCCGATGCTTGAGTCTATGATCGCACAGCGCAGCATGGCGAACGGGAGTAACGCACCGGAGAGCGACGTGACGACGCCTTTCTTCCGCGCGTCGGTGCTCGTGCCTGGCGTTCGTCTACAAGTGGAGGAACGCCTATGCCGCATGAACCGTCGACGGGAAATCAATGAACTTGCGATGCGCATGGGTGTTGGCGCGGTTGGAGGTGTCCTTGAACGCGCGGAGGCAGTAGAGGTGAAAGGTGAGGGTGAGCGCCAGGAAGAGAGCAAGGATGACATGTGGGAGGACTGGAGCAATCAGTTCGAGCCGTGGACGAGCGTGCGGCAGATTGCAGATCGAGCGGTGGGGAATGTTGTGTCTTCTGGACTTCCTCAGCAGAAGAAGCTGGGGCTCGAGCCAACGCCTGTGCCGTGGATCACTGTGCACCATGCCTGGGCAGCTCAGCGATCAGCGCATAATCTGCGCAAGTCATTCGTGCGCGACTCTGCTGTGAAAATAGTGAAGCAGAAGGACGCAGAAGAAGAGCACGAGGATGCGGAGGACGAGGAAACAGAAGGGGAGAAAGTGGATGAGGTTGTGGAGCGTGTCAGGCAGGACCCGTACCTAGAACAGCATGAACAAAGGCTCTTATCTTGCATCGTCGACCCTGGTGAGCAGTTTCAGTACTTGCATTTATGCTATTTATTCATCATGATGATCTAGCTTCATTATCAACGACTTTCAGTCAAGTTCACCTTCCAGAACATACAGTCGACGCTGTCCGCACGATCGTCTCCCTACCTCTACTTCACCCAGCGGCGTTCCAGCAAGGTATTCTGAAGGAACATGGTATGACCGGATGTCTTCTTTTTGGGCCCCCGGGGACAGGGAAAACGCTGGTCGTCCGTGCACTTGCAAAAGAAGCTGGCTGTCGGATGTTGATTATATCGCCCTCGGATGTCATGGACATGGTACGTTCCCTCGTTTCATCTTCCAAACTCACTAACTCCTTGCCTTAGTACGTCGGCGAAGGCGAAAAACTCGTCAAAGCCGTTTTCTCGCTCGCACGCCGTCTCTCGCCCTGCGTCGTCTTCCTCGACGAAATGGACGCACTCTTTGGTGCCCGTATGTCTGGGCGCGAGAGTGGTGGAGCATTCGCACATCGTGGGGTCATCACTGAATTCATGCAGGAGATGGATGGACTGAAGTCGTCGAGAGAGGATAGGGTGATCGTGATTGGTGCGACGAACAGGCCGTTCGATTTAGATGATGCGGTGTTGAGGAGGGTACCAAGGCGGTTGTTGGTCGATCTACCTGGGGAAAAGGAGCGCGAAGGCAAGTTTCGATCTTTTGATCTGTTTCATCTGACACGAATGATCTTTATTCAGAGATACTCAAGATTTTACTTCGAGACGAGACGTTGGCACCTGAAATTGATCTCAAGGTGCTGGCAACGAAGACGGAGAGCTTCTCTGGATCAGACCTTAAACGTGGGTTCAGTTGTGATAGGTCTTGTGAATCTATCTGATGCCCTTCTCTTAGATCTTTGTGTCTCTGCTGCCCTGGATGCCGTCAAGGAGAATGTTAAGGTTCCATGGAAGCCTGATGTCCTCAAAACCTCACCAGCCAGCGAGCTTATCACCCCTCCTGAGGTGGCTTCGCTGGACACTGCTTCTGCCTCGCAAACGTCTGGAACAGAAACACGGGCAGAAACTCAGGCAGACGCCCAGGAACCGTCACTTGAAGAACCTGTGACCGAACCACCGCCCCATGTTCGCATCATCCATGCTCGCCATTTCACCAAAGCACTCAAGGAAATCACGCCTTCCTCATCCGAGTCTCTCGGTAGCTTAGCAGACCTTCGGAAATGGAATGAGGAGTTTGGCGAGGGCCGAAAAGACAAGAAGCGGCACCAAGTGTGGGGTAAGGGCAGGTTCGGTTTCATCAACAAGACCGTACCAACACAAGAAGACGGGCGGGTGACGGCTAACTGTACACCACACCCAGGTCAATCATCAATAGAGCAATAGTAGACTAGGCTAGTGTAGAGTGCAATAAATAATACTCGTGGAATCACCGAGTGCGCGTCGAGCGACGGTGCCGGTTTCCTTGTGTTTGCTGTGGTGCTTCTTCGTCTTCTTCGTCTTCATCCTCGTCCACATCCATATCTACAGGTGGCTTTTTCTGTTTGCCTTTGCCTTTGCCCTTGCCTTTGCCACCATTTCGCTGCGGCTGACTCTGAGTCTGTGATGGTTGCGAGGGCTCCACTTCCATCTCTTCTTCTTCTTCGTTTTCCTCGTCACTCTCATCCTCAGTACTTTTCCTCCGTACACGGCGTCCCTCGTCCTGACCGTCCTTGATGGCTTCCTCGCCGACAGGGATCATGTTCTTGGAGTCCTGTGGCCAATCTTGCGAACAAGCCGGACACTTGGCATTCCGACTGCGATACTTCTTGCAACAGTGGTAGTGCAAACGTGCCTTGCAATTCGGCGTGCTGCAGGCGACACCACGGGTGACCATCTGATGCACTCGAGTCAGAAGCTGATAAGAAATCAGGTGGTTTGAGGGTCACCTCGTAGCATATGACGCATTCAAGACATTCTTCAGGATATGAGCTTTTGAGGTATGGAAGGAGTTCCAACAACGTGCGCGTTGAGAGCGAATAACGGCCTCGTCTATGAAACGGTTAGTCTTTTTTGCATGCCAGATATTTGCAGGTATCTCGCCTGCTCTTTAGCAACCACCCCTTGGCGACAAAACTGCCGAGCACAATTTCGGCCTGCGCTTTCGTCATCGTTGTCTTGAGAGAGCTAACTTCGCGTAGGGCGAGTAATGAGGATACAGAGTACGCCTCATGCGGGGCGAGCATGATTTGCTCTACCTGTAAAGGGACACGATAGGTAACATGACACAAGGAATTTCATATAACTCACGACCGCTTTGAAGTAGGCGATTTCAACTGGTGTATAATCTGTAGCCATCTGTGCTATTTCATCATCCTTACTGTTCACCTTTCATATTGTGAGGACAGTTAGGACCACTAGCATGCAAAATGACTGACCATGGCATACATCTCTCGGCCAGTCTGTTCATCTGTCAGATGCCGAAACTCAAGGTCCATGCAATTGAGAGAGTTATTGATATCGATCACAAAGAGATCCCAGTCCTCTCTTTTGTCAGAAAACCGAATGTCCAATGTCGGGTTTGCAGCTGCAGAAGGTCGAATGGCCGCATTGAACGACAGGAGGTGAGAGCTGTGTACGTAACGTACCTTTGACAACATCAATACATTTTTCCCAGAGAACTTGGGCGTGTTTGAAAGAAAGAATGCTGCGTGAAAATACACCTTGGAGAAAAAGGCGCTGAACATCATTTGCAGAGACCATCGTGGTCAAAGTATAAGACGCGTCAATTAACTCGCGTCGCGTCGGTGGCTTCCGAAAACTTTAATCATCTCGTCATATGTACGGCATGAAAAAATCGTTGGCAAGTCGTGTGCTATCAGTACTTTAGAGTCTTTAAGTAAGTAGTGAATGTTATATGCATGTGTAGGCGTGGTGTCTGTGCCCTATCATAATACGCTCAAACAGGAGTAGTAAAAAAATCACTACTCCTGCATTACAACTTTGGAACTCGAAGGGTTTTACTGACCATTGCAGCTGCCCATAAACCAAAAACAACACTGACAGGGTGGATATCCCCACGACCACCTGGTGTTCCCCACAACGTAATGAGACCTCCTGGTATCCCCTGCTTGCCCTCAACCCAACCTCGTCGAACCCAGTATGACAGAATCGCGACAAGTCCTAGAGACGAAGGGATCGGAAGGCCTTCGAAGTACCTGGACTTGCCTGCTGCGTCCTTAGGGATCAATGCAACAGTCGCGTTAAAGCGGGCGAGACGAGCGAGACCACAACATATGAAGCCAGTCAAGCATACGGTGTCAAGGTACGTCCGAAGGCCCACAGCAAAAGCAACCACAGCTGGTGCAACACCAAATGATACCTACCGTAGAATAAAATTAGGCGAATGAACGGCGCTTATCGAAAAATCGCATACCAGATCTGCAAGACTATCAAGTTCTTGGCCAAGCATACTAGATGATTTTCTCCACCTCGCGACTTTACCGTCCATGAAGTCAAACATTAATCCAGCCAGTGGGAGACCAAGTGCCCACAGCAGGTAATCATCATCGTTCGTCAATAGGTACTGTGCAGATGAAAATATTGAGAAAGAGCCGCAGACACCATTCATAATGGTAACAAGATCAGCTAGACGGAAATTTCTGAAGGCAAACATCTTAGCAAGTCAAGAAGTTAGGGACATGAGGATCCGCACCTGACTAGGGAGAAATGACCATCAGCATCATTATATTGTTGGAGAGAACTGTCGTGCTTGTTGTTGCTGTTCACTGGACTAGCTTTGCTTCGCACCATGCTGGCTTTGGTGTGGATGGACAGATGACCAGCAAGAGAGCCCAGTCATGCTAGCTGCGGGGTCCTTCTAATATAGCTCAAGGACACCAAACACCGCTTAACTCCATAGATACAACAATATTTGATATGTTAGTCTGTCCAAGTCATACAGTAGAGTCTACGACCATTGCGTCCCCTTGCTGCGCTTTCTCAATTTCTATGCTCTTTGCAGCATACTGATTTGGATGCGTGACACTTTCCCCTTCTCCGATTCCATCACCTTTCTTGACTCCAGCTGCTGCATGAGTGATCTCAAAAACTCGGGTACAGGCGACATGATAGTGTCCTTCTTTCACAGTACGCATGACCTCCGCCAGATCCGTCGATGTCAGTCCTTGTGATGAATAAGTTGCTAATAAACTCGTTTGTAAGTTGTCCGGCGCAAAGTGGCGATATGAACATCCATGGCAATCGGAAGGTCCAGGTTTGTCTGCTAAGAGAATCTGCTGACAACTGCATAGAATTGACCATCAGAATACCTGGAGATGGAACGTTACGCGTTCATACCTCTTCGCTGGATAGTTGGCACGTTTCCCTTCCAGTCCAAATGAGTGTCTAATATTGTACTTGTATTCTTTGTTGAACTTGTCGTCCGTGAGATTACTGAAAGCCTTCCTCCAAAATGCAATTGCTTCGTCTATCGACAAACCAAGAACCTGATAAGTTACGGTCAACGGATCTTTCAGTTAATGAGCAATAAATGTCCAACTTTGAGAAACAGGCCGTATTGCAGCCGACCAAAATGTTTCAAGTGACGGTCCCGCATGAGGCATTCGTGTAGGTTCCGCATGCACAAGGGGAAGTGTCGTTTGGCGAGGTCATCCACCATATCTGCTCTGATCTCGTCGCCTGTGGCTGGACAAGAGTATTCTGAAGCCACCCCTGCGACAAATCCTCGAGACATATGATTGAGCATTTCGGTTAGGCGTGTATCACCATCCATGCGCATTATTGACCGAGCAGTTAACTGTTAGTGAATCAGAAAGTGAATCAGAAAAGTTCTGGGGGATGATAAAATACTAACTGACATCGAGCGCACTTTCAAGGTTTGCCTCGAATGCTCGCAGAACGATGCTGAGCTGTTCTTTACTGGGAACGTACGCCCAGCCGTCTTTGAGAAGGACGCGTCGCTTATTGACAAGATCCGGCACTTGAGTCCATCTCACCTGTAGAGATTAAATAAAAAGCAGGAAGGAAGACTGATTGACGCACCTTGTAAAGCCTCTCCGTCGTAGAAACTCCTTCCTCCGGCTGCTGTATTCCGAGCCCCTTTAGTTCACTAGCATACTTTAGCTTTTCCTCAGAGTTGACCTAGCAGTACCGTTAGTGAGAGGAATGAGTGTAATCATGCACTGACCTCAGTCCATTTAAAGTCCCGTGATTGTAGAAAGAGCTCTCGCTCTTTTGTATCATCATTCTCATATCTCACTCGGAAGAGAGCTGTCTCTGCCTTCACGAACCTCCTCCTCAAGTCCTCCCTAAAAATCGGTTACCAGATGGGAGGTCGATGATGAGAATGTGACGCACGATCGACAGAAAGCAAGCCTAAGTACGAAGTGGCTCAGATGGTCATTCCTCCTTTCAGCCTGCGTATCCACAGTTGAGGCACTGTTGCTGTTGAGAGGAAGGTGATCCTTGCACTGCCGCGTGGTCACACTCTTCAACTCCTCCCAAGATCTGTTACGTGCAAAAGAAGACTCTATTTCTGCAAGAACGCGAAGGCGATCCAGGGCGTATCTTTCAAAATCCTCTAAAGAGACTTCATACCATGGGGATTTGTCGTAACTTAAAATGGATTGAGGTCACCTTCTGAAAGTAGGCAATAAAGATACATACAAGTTGAGACGGAAAGGCCACTCAGACGAGTTTGCTGATTTCGATAAGTCAAATTTCGCTGGGTCAAATTTCCTCCTTTCAGAATTGTTGTACATTGCGTGAAAAGTTAAAACGATGAGAGTAGATCAAATGGAGGAACGCGTCGAGACACGAGGTGTCACAAACGCGTAAATATTCGTCACACTATTACAATGTCACGGAAAACTCGCACTGGCTCTCTCAGTTTGATTTTCTACCCCTAAATGACTTTTCACTCAGCAGAAGAAAAGGCCTCGCGAACGCCGTTAAGTAACCTTTCATGCCCCCAATACTGAAAAATAGCTAGAATCATCAACTCTGGGACAGGCTTCAGAAGCTTGAACACATGGAATGCGACCTTTGAATGTGGCAGATGTCAGAATCATGTGTTGTTTTCATGGCGCTAGAGTTCCAAGTCCCGTCTTGTTGAATGGTCTCCCTTTCAAAACTTCTTTCACATCCACATCTCAGTGACCCAGTCTGAGGCAAACTCCGTTTCCAACGAACTATCTTTTGAGTCGAGCAAACTCAGCATCTATGTCATCAAGCAAGATCGATTTGGGACCTCTGCTGAAAGTGGAGGAACAAATGCAAAGTCAAATTTGAGCTGCTTGGCGGCCTCTGTATCACTGCTAGAGTTGATACAATATCAATGATTATCAGGATGCAGCTGAGGTCAAAAAGCTATATAAAAAAGGAGCGCTCCGTGCTTCCTGTGCCGAATGCATAACGGGCGTGTGCTAGTCGAGGTCAAGCGAGTTAAGCGATAGCCAACATGAGTTCCACGCGAGCAAGCAAGTCCAGATGGCTGGAACACGTGAACGTGTCGAGGAACTCGAAGATGCATACACCTATTCAGCGGGATGAAAATCTTACATAGCAAACAAACAGTAAGAAATCTCGGATAACTTCACTGAGAGACTCGGAATAAAATTATCCTTTGTTGGAATAGGATTACTGGCATGCCCTTCATTATATAAATACTTTACATTATATCTGCGCACGCCGTTCGCCATAATTCGCGTCCACAATAGTAAGATACTTCAAACATAGATTGACAACCATATATCATGCGTCAGCGAGGTCCAGGAGTCGAAGAACGGACCAGTTTTGCGCCGAACCAGCCGTGCGCCTTTTTGCTTGCCTAGAGCCCCAGGGTAAGGGTCAGGTAGGTCTTCCTCAACATCAAAGGTCACTCCTGGCCGAGGTCGATTTTTCTTCCGTCTCTTCTGCTCCGCCTCTTCTCTATCCCTCCACTGGCTAGTCGCCACCATCGGATCGCGCGAAGGTGGCGGCACCATAGGCGGAAGAGGCTGAACTTGACTGACGGCAGAATGAGCCGGGGACCCGATCACAGTGTTCGTCTGTGTGAATCATGATGAGACTCGACATCGGAGAATATGAAAATCATACGTACTGCAGTATTTCCATCACATACGTCGAGAGATGCTCCAGACATGGTGCGATTTCTCTTGCTAGTCAGGAAACTGAACGGAGAGAATACATTGGACGAAGGATGCTTGCGGTCACGATGAGGATGTGCAGATGAAATGGTAATCTCAGGGTGCCTCCTGGCTCTCTCTTTTGATGCCTTGGGTTGAGTCGACGCTGATGGGGGTGGAAGAGCCGTAGTCTGCATCGTGTGGGCAGGAAGTGCACAAGTCACAATCTTATCCTTTGATTCCTTGGGCGAAGAGGACGATTTAGAGTGCTGGATGGGCGGTGCTACAATCACCGGAGACTTGTGCTGCTCCATGGATAGCTTTGGACATCGAACAACGGGACTCTCGAGAGGTTTAGAAGAGCCAGACCCAGACATGGTCCTGAACAACCCTCCAAGGAAACCACCCGGCTTTTTCTTCGACTCCTTAGATTCTGTTGACACCTGCCTCTGCCTCATCGGGGGCGCAGTTACTTGGTGTGGAGACGTAAAACTCGTATGCGGTGTTTGTGGTGTCTTAGGCATTGAGGGTGCAATAGAGGAAGGCGTCATCAGCATCTCGGACTCATGGGAGAATGTACGATTCATAGCTGGTGGCAAATGAGCTCGGGACGGAGCAGGTGTAGATGGATGTCCTGAGACTGCAACACGGGCAGCCCACGAAGGTTCGGCTGTCTTGGAGGGGCGAGACGAAACGTTTCCTTGCAAAGAACTGGGAAAAGGTTGTGTTGACGTGGCACTGGAGTTGACCAAAGGCTGAGAGATTTTACGAGGAGAGGGAGGACGTGAGTTGACATTAGATGCGGAATCAGGTTGCGGAGTGGGTAATGATACAGTTCGATGATGGGGTATAGGATGTTGCGAGGGTTTGAGTTGTTGGTTGGCGCTCGCTGGAGTAGCGTGACGATGAGATGCAGGGTATAATGGGTTCATGGCTGAGGCATAACGAGAAGCAGAGGAAAGCAAACCACGATAGCGAGTAGAATCACTGATATTAGGAGGGTCCTGCATTTGGGTTTTCGCAGAGGGAGTGCTGGCAGCCGCACGGACGCTGGGACCTTGAGGAATAGTTACGGGAGGTACAACGGGACGAGAGGGATAAGTTTTTGTGTGGACCTCTGCATTATGAGGGTGAGATGCGACAGCCGACGCAGCAACTGCAGCATATTGTCTGCTACCTTTGAATGCAACGTCAACAGGAACGCTCTGAGTAGAGTTCAACTGTGGAGCAACTGGTCGAGTAGTTTGCGCTGCGGCAGCTGATGCGCTGGTAAGAGGTCGAGATGAATGAGATTTTGTGTGGGTCTCCGCAGTTGGTAAATTCTGAAGGTGGGGGGCGGTCACAGTCGTAGTAGGGGTCGCAGCGTATGATTTCCCTTTGGATGCAGCATCTATAGAAACACTCTGAGCAACATTCAGTAGCTGAGGAACTTGTCGAGCACCTTGCACTGCAATAGATGATGCGCTTGTGTATGTAGGAGGTGCTTTCGCGCTTGACTGCGCATCAGTCGACCGTTGGTACCCTCGAGGCTGTCCACCAGACGATGTTGTCCGATGAACAGGATCTTGGTGCGATGGGGCAAAGGTAGTCTGCGTTGGCGGAGCAGAGAACGGGGCACGAGAAGATGCAGAAGCGTGTGTGTGCTGTTGAGTCGAGGGTGCAGGAGGAGCATGGGGTGGAGTTGACGCTATGGCGGTGGGAGTAGGTTGCACACTGGGACTAGACTTCACAGTAGGAGTAGGATATACGCTTGGAGTAGCTTGCACATTGGAACTAGGCTTCACAGTGGGATTAGACTGCACGCTTGACGTAGCCTGCACACTGCTGGGCTTCACAGTGGGGGTAGGTTGGACGCTCGGGGTAGCCAGCATATTGGGGCTGGGCTTCACAGTCGGATTAGACTGAACGCTTGACGTAGCCTGCACACTGCTGGGCTTCACAGTGGGGGTAGGTTGGACGCTCGGGGTAGCCAGCATATTGGGGCTAGGCTTCACAGTCGGATTAGACTGCACGCTTGACGTAGCCTGCACACCGGGGCTGGGCTTCACTGGAGGTAGTGCCTTCCCATGAGCATTCAAATCCGAAGACTTGGCAGTAGGAACACTCGAGGGAGGGACGGGAGCCTCAGAACCCTGAGCCGGAACCTGCGTCTGCAAAGGACTCGTAGTCCACTTATTCCCGAACTGTGGAGACTCGGGGACTTCCTCTATGGTAACTTTGGGCCTTGTCAACCGAGGAGCAGGATTGGTAGGTGGATATACGCTTGCAGGCGCTCCCTGGCTCGATGGAGGGTGCTGTGAACCTGATATGCTGTGATTAACTCCACTAGTAGGACCCGTACCCGCAAATGGCGATGGCGGTGCAGGTAGAGAAGCTTCGCGAGACATAGCAGGTGCAGCAGCAGCCTTTTGGTACACGGAACTTGCGGTCGCAGGCGCAGCACCCACTCCCACACCCATCCCAGGCTTGCTCTTGTTGGAATCGACATGTCCATTGGGCGATGAAGGCTCAATAGAGGAAGCGATAGCCGAGGTATGAGCGGCAACTGAAGCTGGAGCGAGCTGCAACGGAGTGGCAGAGCTCGTGGGCGTAGGGTTCATTCCAGCGGGATTACTAGGTGCCAGCCTAACAGGGAAAATGTCCTCTGGGATGTCAATCCCTGGTACTCTTGGTGGTGGAACCGGTAGAGGTGGGGGAGAAAACTGTCCAGCAGAAGCAAGTTGACCGTACGATGAGAGAGACGGAGTCTGCGACATCGCAGACTGGAATAAAAACCTAGGATTCTGTTGGTGCATCCCTGTAGAACCAATAGGATGGACCGTCTGTGGCTGCGGATGGTCATGGCTGCCGGACGTTGTCCTCGAGATCTGCGAAGGCGCTGGGTACGATGGTGCAGGAAGACTGTCATACGGTGATGCTGGAGCTTGTGGTGCCAGAGATTGGGACGAAAACCCAGGACTCTGCTGGTGTGCCGCTATGGTGTCCTGCCCGTGCGAGGGATGTTCACGACTGCCAGATATTGTCCTCGAGACCTGCAAAGGCAACACTGCGGATTGAGCAGACCCAGGAGTCTTCTGGTGCGACACTGTAGAACCAACACTAGGAACCGCCTGCTGCGAGGGATATTCACGGCTGCTAGACGTTGTCCTTGAGATCTGCGAAGGCAATACCACAGGCGGTAATGGACGCTCAGGAGTCTGCTGAGTAGAAACAAGAGGATGTGTATGAACTGTCTGCTGTTGCGTGTTCGGTGGATGGTCACGGCTACCGGACGTTGTCCTGGAGATCTGCGAAGGCGCTGGGTACGATGGTGCAGGAAGACTGCCGTGTGGGGATACTGGAGTCTGCGATGTCACAGACTGCAATGGAAGCGCGGGAGTCTGCTGATGCGATGCGACAGAGCCAATAGTATGAGTATGAACCATTGGCGTCTGCGGATGGTCGCGGCTGCCGGACGTCGTCCTCGAGATCCCTGAAGGCGCCGGGAATGATGGCGCTGGAAGACTGCCATACGATGACGAAGACGGTGCTTGCTGCACCACAGGCCCCGAAGGCTGCTGAGATGACGCAGTGGAACTAACAGCATGATTGTGAGCTATCTGTGGCTGCACCTGCACCGGTGTAGGATGGTCCCGACTCCCAGATGTAGTTCTCGATACTCGTGAAGGCGCTGAGTAAGACGGTGCGAGGAAACCAGAGTTGTGTGGAGGTTTATGAGGCAATTCCTGGTTCTCCGACAATGGCGTAGCTCCTATTACCGCAATCTGCGGAGGTGCAGGAAGGAGATTGTGTTTGAACTGCTCCTGCGTGTTCTGCGTGAGTTAAACCAGGGAACATAGCCTCTATCTACGCACCTCTTTGTCCTTCGACATGCGAGGTGAACTATCTGGAGAGCGCCGAGGTGTCCCGGCAGCGTACACATCCTTTGGCGTGCCATAAGGCGACGACCGCAGCGAGAAATTCGGACTTGGAGCTGAACGGTTTGCAGGGGGATCTTGAGAAAGGACTTCGCGCAGTTGTGGATGAGCTACCGCGGGCGGATCGAGCTGACGATGTGAGCCATTAGAACCTAAGTGCTTCTCTTCCCTAGCCACGTAACTGTCCTTGAGCGGTTGAGCGGTTTGTACGACCCAGGATGATTTGACCGTACTCCCATTGGATATCTGAGCGGTCGTCATGCGAGGAGCGACGACTTGGGGTTCTGGACGATCGAGCGAAGTTCGTGGTGCACGAGAAGGTTGTGATGCCATCATCATCGTTTGTGAGGTGTTCATCGATGTTGAATGGACAGCAGGTGTGGGTGGTGACTGTTGAATGACTGTCGCGTTATTGCCCTGGGTTCCAGATACAAGGGGAGCCTGTGAGCTCATAGGGGTTGGGCATGCAGAAGGGAGGGATCCATAACCTGACCCAATCTTAGGTGGACTCGAGTTGGTCTTGTGAGCAGGTGGCTGGCTGGAAGTCACCGGACCAAGTGATGTCTGTCTATTCGGCTCATTCTGATGATCTGCGACCGAAGAGGAACGTTGAGGTCTTGGACCAGATACAGCTGGAGGATTGGAGAATGATGTCTTGTGTGAACGCGGTTGAGAGGGCTGGTTTTCCACTGGTGCACTGATTTGAGGGTATCGGGGAGGTGTGAGGTCTTCGGGCCGATGATGGCGGCCATGCAACAGATCAACTGCTACAGGATCTGTACGAGATCGTTCTGGTTGGGGCTGCTCCGGCCGGCTACGGGGGACTTCAGAAGATTGTGATCTGCCATTAGACGGCTTCACCGCGGATGCGAGGGATGATGCATGAGGATGACCTGCACCATGCAGTTCATCTTTATGTGAAGGTGATTGTGACTTGTAAAGTACATCGTGAGCCTTGCGATCGGCAGGGCCCTCTCCTGCGACAAGAACAGGTATGGTACCCACATGTGCTCGTGATTCGTGTGGCAAAGGTGACGAGTTAAAGCCTGGCGTAATAAGGGGTATATCGACAGTGTGAATTGATGTAGGCTTCAGGGGCTGCCGCGAGTCATGATATGTGCCCTGGGTTGAGGTATACTTGGCGGTGATTATCACAATCAGCTCCATCATTCAGTCGTCAAGGCTGCTGGACACACCTCTGATTTGGACTTGGCATCCTCACGCGGACCCAGGGGGGTGTCTTGGCCCTGTCTCTCCCTTACGGCATTCGTTTGATACCCATCACCTCTCTGTACGGGACCTCCCGAGTGATTTCTCTCCATGCGGTGCTGACAAAAAAGGTCAAGGGAGCTAAACAAGGTTGTTTGGATGTCTTACTTTCAGAGAAGCTCGTTCAGTGTCACTGCCTGATTGAGCTCCTTGCATAGCTAATGACGTATGCCGCTCATGCTGTGGTTTGGAAGGTTTATGAGGAAGGTAGACAGGCATTACGCGAGGGGCGGGCGGTGGATTGCTCCCTGCGCCCGCTGTATTACTCTGAGATATAGCCTCTTGCTGGGGACCTGTAGACTGCATGTGAACAGCAGAAGTTTGGTTGTGTGAAGAGTCAGCATGAGGTCGGCGGGCCTTGGCGCAGTATCAGCATCATGCAGCCGTATAAAGTCAGTTGGACATACAGATGAGACTCCATCTTCTGTACGATGTCGTCTGTGACCGGTGATAGACTCGCGAATGGAGGGCTGATAGGCTTCCCTGCCAGAGATGGAAGCTTTGTCTGAGTACACGAGGCCTTCAGAGTCTGACTCGATCTTCTTTTCACGTCTGTGCCTAGTTTGCTCCCTCTGCCTGTCTGCCTTTTCCTTCTCCCGATGTTGTTCAGATCTGTGTCTTTCACGATGCCTTTCGAGTTCAGCACTAGCCCTTTCTCTGTCGCGTTCTTTCTCCATTTCTCGATGTCTTTCACGTTCCTGGTCACGATCTTTCGATCGTTTAGAGTAGATATCTTGAGCGGATGAAAGCCAATTAGTAGAAGGTGTCATTGAATTCGCGGTAGTTTGGGGTTGGAGAGGACGGGAAGAATAAGTTTGCCTGGAGGATCTTGCAACGTCTTCGGCGCCGGAGACTTGTTCATATGATGACTTTGGGGTTGGAGCATGCCGTCGATGAGATCTGGAGTCAATGGGTTCTGGCTGGTGGCGGCGTGAAGAAGCCGTTTGAGGATAACCCTTGGTGTTGGATGGTTGAAGGGGTGCAAGAGTCTGGTAAGGTGTGGCCGAATGATGACCTGTAGATGGGTACTGGGCAGAAGAAGAACGTGTTTTGCTGGTTGATGATGGCGCCGGGTGATATGAGGGAGAAGGTGCAGTGGAAGAGTACTGAGGATGAGCACGAGACCTACTAGATTCGCGATGACGGCGTTGGTCGTAGTCGCGGTCAGTAGATTTCTCTGTTGGCCAAAGTTTGTAACGATCGTCATGAAGACGGTCTTCTCGTCTTCGAGTGGCCATTCAGACAAAAGCCAGGATCCAGTTCTTGGGAAATGGAACGAGTAGAAGAATAAGAAAGAGAGACCTGACAAGTGCCGACCCGTCGACATGAGGCATCCGTTAGTATGAAACTTCCATTTAATAATATTGCTTATGATGGGAACCAAACTTTGGATTTGATTACCAAAGTCAGTTCATTCTGAGTAAATGCTCAAACACGCATGGCATGCATGGGTCAAGGGCAAGATTTCATTCAAGTAATAAATAATAGTACATGGTGATGTCCGCCATCGACCAAGAGCAACGACGAGAGAAAGGTCCTACGTCGTCACCAAGTGATCATGGCACCGTCAGAGAGTTTTGGAGGAATAGCCCCCAGTCTCAAAACAAAACTGGGAACAATCCAAAAGTCCGTCCGACCTGCTTTTACACGATTTTGACTCATTACCGACAGTGAAGCAGCGGAAAGGCTGGTGGTGACACTGAGGTCAACCCTGTCGAGACAATTTAAGGATCGTGTGGGATCACTCTGAAAGTTGTCGCAAACGAACGTAGTACATCGTTGATGAAAAAAAAGATCGAGTTTGACAATGGAGGGGTCGAACTTTTTATAGAGGGGTTTGCTTACGAGAGCGATTCCCTATGACCGATTCCCACCGACCTTCGTCACTTCACTCGCTAGTGTCACTTTGGAGTATCATATTGTCACGGATTATCCTCTTTCGCGGTAGCATCAGCTTATATCTCAATACGCCTCCCTCTGAATTGTCGCTCATCTGCCCCCTTGCATGGTATGTCTCATCATACCTTTCCTACAATCCCCAGACTCACATTTCAGCCACACAAGAGTGTTACCATGGATCATCTGGACGAAAAAGTAAACGGCGGTCCTTCCATGGAGATCATTGATGAGCTCGTTTCCGTTCGCGATCGTAAGCTCTCTTTCCTCTATATCAACTCACACCTTCATATCATCACATATAGACCAAGCTTTTGCATCCAAGCACATGCCAGACCTAGGGCATGATGTCAAAGATTTTCAGGTTTATACTTGGCGGATAAACAACTGGAAGAAATTAGAAAAGAGGCTTACAAGTCCTGACTTTGAATGCGGCGGTCACAAATGGTCAGTCTATCAGAACCCACTCTTCCCCTCGCTCTCACATTTCTTAATAGGCGCATACTATTATTTCCCTTTGGAAATTCTAATGCACCCCCTAATGACACCGTCTCCGTTTACCTCGATTACGCTGATCCGAAGAAGTCCCCAGAAGGTTGGCATGCATGTGCCCAGTTCGCACTCGTCATTTCCAATCCCCACGACCCTACTATATTCACAGTCAGCCGTGAGTTCTATCATTTCATTTCACTTGCTCAAAAATACAACTATTCAATAGATGCTCACCATCGCTTTATCGCCGAGGAATGCGACTGGGGCTTCACCCGCTTCAGTGAGCTGCGTAAACTCTTCAATATCCAAGAAGGTCATTCCCGTCCGACCATCGAGGATGAGTCAGCCGATGTTACTGTTTATGTTCGCGTACTCGAGGATCCTACCGGCGTCTTGTGGCACAATTTTGTCAAGTGCGTATTCATCCAGCTCATCTCAGCCCTTATTTAGTCCGTCCAGCTATGACTCCAAGAAGGAGACTGGCTACGTTGGCTTGAAGAACCAAGGCGCGACGTGTTACATGAACTCCCTTCTCCAATCTCTTTTCTGCACGCGCTACTTCCGAAAGGTGAGTGTGGCGTTGACATGTATTATTCAGCTAACGTGGCTTTTAGGCTGTGTACCAAATACCAACAGAAGACGAACACCCTACTGAAAGCGTACCTCTCGCCCTGCAACGTGTATTTTATCATCTCCAGACATCAGATCAACCTGTTGGTATGTATCACGCTGATTCGCTCTGTGATCCTTTCCAAAATGCAATTCATCAGGAACCACGGAATTGACGAAATCGTTTGGATGGAAGTCATTTGACTCTGATCAACAACATGACGTTCAGGAATTTAATCGCGTGCTCCAAGATAAGTTGGAGACCAAGATGAAGGTATCAGAATTCGGATCATATGCCCTGCAGTGTCTCATCTCGTCTAGGGTACGAAAGCCGAAGGTGCAATCTCCAAGCTTTTCGTCGGAAAGATGAAGAGTTACATCAAATGCGTGAACGTCGAATTTGAATCATCTGTATTTGAGGACTTCAATGGTAATCTAGAGTCTCTTATCTAGCAACATCTAACGCGTTATTTGATTCAGATATCTCTCTCAACGTTAAGGGAATGAAGAACCTATACGAATCATTCAAGGACTACGTCGCTGTTGAGATGATGGAGGGCGAGAATAAGTATCAAGCTGAAGGGTTTGGTCTCCAAGATGCGAAGAAGGGAATCCTTTTCCAATCATTCCCTCCTGTGCTCCATCTGCAACTGAAGCGTTTCGAATATGATATTCAACGTGACGCGATGGCGAAGGTTCGTAGCACAAGTATAGCCGTGATTCTCATCGATTAATCCCCTGTAGATCAACGATCGCCATGAATTCCCATTTGAAATCGACCTCGCGGAATTCCTGGATGAGGACGCCGATCGTTCGCAGTCATGGAACTATAAGTTGCATGGCGTGTTGGTACATTCAGGGGATCGATATGGCGGACATTACTTTGCACTCATCAAACCCGATCGGGAGACGAGATGGCTGAAATTTGATGATGATAAGGTCACCCCAGTCACTGATCGCGAGGTATTAGAGGAAAACTACGGTGGCGAACCTCTGAATGGTATTACTCCTCCACTGCAACGCAATCAAGTACGAGCCATGAAGAGGTTCACCAACGCGTATATGTTGGTCTATATTCGCGAATCGGCCACTGATGAAATCCTTTCGACTTGGAAGGACGAGGATACCCCGGCACATCTCAGTGAGTCACTGTAACGTAATAACACATGTTGCTGACTATAATCAAAGAGCGTCGACTTGAGGACGAGAGACTACAGATTGAAGCTAAGAAGCGTGAACGCGAGGAACAGCATCTTTTCCTTACGGCCAAGGTTTGTGATAGTTTGGTTTACCTATCCTCCTGCTCACGTCAGCTTAGGTCATCACCGATGATACATTCGCTCATCATGAAGGCTTTGATCTTGCTACCTTTGATGAAAAGAACTGGCCGCCTTCGGAGCTACCGAGCTTCCGTGTTTTGAAGCAAGAAACCTACAGTACCTTCAAGTCGCGTGTAGCGAGCCACTTTAACCTTCCGGAGAACAAAATACGCCTCTGGGTTCTGGTCAACCGTCAAAACAAGACTGTTCGCCCTGATACTCATATTCCTGAGAATGAACCGACGCTGAGTAGGCTCTCGTCCTTTCACAGCTATCAATTTCTGATGCTTGCTGTAGCTGTCGAGGTGATTCGCAATAATATGGCAGCAAGGCAGAATGATCTTCGCTTGTATCTTGATATAATACCCGATCCAAGCAAGGTATGTCGTTGTTATATGCTGCAGGGATTTCGTTGATACGTTGCAGCCTGAGCCACCAGCTGGGTCCATCATGATTTTCCTGAAGCACTTCGACATGGCGAAGCAGACTCTGTTCGGTATTGGTAAGGTGTATGTGTCGAGGAACAGCAAAGTCCAGGATCTGCACCCTTTGATTAATGAGCGGATGCGGTGGGCACCTGGCACTCCTCTGAGGTTGTTCGAGGTACGCTAACACATTTGCCGTTCGGGTTTGGATCTTACTCCTGATTGGTTATAGGAAATCAAGCCTGGCATGATCGAACTGATGAAGCAGAAGCTCACTTTTGCTCAGAGTGAGATTCAGGATGGTGATGTCATTTGTTTCCAGGTCGACCACTCCGAGAAAGAGTGAGTATTCAGTCCTTACTTCCGACGATCTATATTCAATTCTTGGTCAGGATACACGACCTCGATGCCCAGGGTATGTATTCCAACCCGATACAATTTTACGACTTCCTCCAGAACCGCGTCATGATCATCTTCCGACCAAAGTTTGAGGACCCAGACCACGACCACCCAGAGTTTAGTCTAATCCTCAGCAAGAAGCACAATTACGACATGGTCGGTGCTCTTTCTAGCGTGTTAGTGGCTTGAGTAGCTGACAACTTGCCCAGATGTCGACGAAGGCTGGCGAGTTTTTGAGACATGATCCGATCAAGCTTCGATTCACAACGACTCACGCAACAAACGGATCACCTAAATCTGTCCTCAAGCGATCTCTCAACCAGAGCATACAGGAAATTATGGTACCGAGTTATATCAATCCAACGACGACCGTCATTCTGTACGAGAAGCTGGATGTAAGCATCGTGGAGCTGGAGACAAAACGAAGTCTCAAGATTATGTGGACGGGGATCCATAATAAAGAAGAGGCTTCATACCCATTCCTGTTGCCGAAGACGAGCTCGGTCCATGATCTTGCTGATCACTTGGCGAAGCAAGTAACGTTGAGTCCTGGAGGGACTGGCAAGATTCGTGTCTTTGAGGTGTCGAAAGATGGGAAGTTCCAGAAGGAGTTTACGGGCTCTGAAATGATTGGAAACATCCCCGAACTTGTTGAGCTTTATGCGGAGGTATGCATGCTTCTGCTGATTGTCTCTTCCTATCAGCGATTTAAACGTGAAACAGGAAATACCTCGAGACGAACTTGAAGCGGACGAAACTGGCAAGACCATCAGTGTCTTCCACTTCAACAGGGAAGTTGCACGAACACATGGTGTGCCTTTCCGATTCGTCGTAAAATCTGCGAGTATCTTTGTCATTTGACCATAACTGTATTTTAACGAGCGATTCAAGGGTGAAAAATTCGCGGACACAAAGAAACGTCTGCAGGCACGAATAGGCGCATCAGACAAGGACTTTGCCAAGTATCGGTTTGCCCTAATCCAAGTGGCTACCTTCAAGCAACCGTCGTACATCGAGGATGGTGAGCACTTAACTTTATTGCGAAAGAGTGTTGTTTTCTAACAACGATGCAGAGGACACCATATACGAACACAAATTCGCTCCCGAAGATGTCCTTGGTTTGGATCATATAGACAAGTCGGGCAAGGCAAGAACAGCAGGCGAGAAGGCCATCGTCATCAGAGGCTGATGTGAAGTGATGGGTACGGTTTGGACTACGATTGTGTTCTGCGCGGCGTCTTTTATCTTAAGCACATTGTACTTTTTTGTCTCAATTTATGCAGTATCAGCAATCGCGCGCGTTTCGGCAAGACAAGTGTGTATTGCATAAATCGGACGAGGTATGTATGGATGGACGTCTAGGATTTACTTCCGTTTCTTGCCCCTCTTCTTGGACTGTGGGTGATGTGGCTTGAGTTAGCTGAGAGTGATTTGGAAGTGATACTTACAGATTTTGAAGTGGATGGGGTATCATGACTCTCGCCATCGCTTGACGCTATGCTCTCCGCCTTTGTACTACTGGCGCGGGGTGGGGCAAGACTATTCAGAGGCTTAACAGGAGTTCCAGGAGCAGAACCTGGAGCACTTCCAGCTGCAGCTGCTGCGAGCGCAGCAGCATGAGCAGGGTGGCCAGGTGGCGGCGGTCCGGACGTGAGGACTGCCTGAGGGAGGTCGATCTTGGCACCTACTTTTCCATACTTTTGTTCTGAAAGGAAGAATTTTTAAAAAGTCGCTCAGGTATTACACGTGAAACCAAGTACGTTTGATTTCTCTAGATGCCGAAGTCTCCTCATAGACGGTGCGCATCTTCTCATTCGCGATCATCTCACCGGCTGACTGGAATATTATGCTTCCCCATCCTTCGACAAAGGTATTAGCTTCTGCGACTACCTCCACAATTTCTGCTTCCAGCTCTTTCTCAGCTTGCAGAAGACTGTTCCAGAGGTCATCGCCAATCGACCCTTTTTGCAGAAGATTTTGTAGAGCAGGCTTGTCTTCACGGAGTCTAACCACACGAGAGACGTCTGTCATTGCACGGCGAACAAGAGCGGCTTTGAGAAGGGCCTCATTAGCTGGAGGGTCGGTCTTCTGCAGTAAGGAAACGTAGACATCGCGTTCTGGATGCGAAGAAAAGTAGGGTTCGTAAAGCTTGCCTGTTACACGTTACACGTCAGTATGTACGATCATGAAATTGCTTGTGGTTCTTACCTGCATCGCGTTTTCTGTAGAAATGACTGAACAGTAATAAACTTGAAACGACTATTCCGACGTATAGAACGGGGACCAGGACTGAAGCCATGATGGCAATTGGAGACGTGGACTTACCGATTGAAATTAAATAAGCTGCAGTTGCCAACTCACTCATTTGTGCCACGCGGAAAGCTTTGTCCATGTTTGCCGGAGTTTCCAAATATGGTAGTCTTACTCTCGGCATTCTTGAACGTTTGAACACCGAACTTCACATGCATGTGAGCGGGATTAGTCTCATGTACTTGCGATTGGTCCAAGTACTTATAAGACACATCCTCCGCATACTGCTTCCAGCCAACTAACCACTTTCACTATGATTGGTCGTTCTTCTTTGTTGGCAAAGTCTGTCGCGAGAAATATCTCTCACAATGGCTTCAGGCGTCTGGCTTCCACCAAGGTAGTTAATATCACCGCCTTACTTCGGATAACTTTGCTCAAAAAAAACTTTGAAGTCTCTCAAAGAAACACTTCAAGAAGTGATCCCGGCGAAGCAAGAACAACTTAAGAAACTAGTCCGTCACATTTCTTCCAAACGTATTAGCCTAACATTACCTGTCATAGAAAGCCGAACACAGTCAAGCTGTAGTGGGGGAAGTCAAGGTCAGTATTCATACCACGGCCTCGAAGCTCATTGACGCGTCGCATAGGTAGAGAACATCCTGGGTGGCATGCGTGGCCTCAAAGCTATGCTCTGGGAAGCTTCAGTCTTGGACCCGAATGAGGTCCGTGAAACTTCTGAACTACAGGCGACCCGACGCTAAGGCATGATCCAGGGCATCCGTTTTCACGGATTGACTATCCCAGATTGCCAAAAGGTGCTCCCTCCGGCACCCGGTGGCAAGGAGATGACAGCTGAGAGCATGCTCTGGCTTCTTCTGACAGGCAAAGTTCCCACCCCGGAGCAAAGCCGTCAACTGTCCGCCGAGCTAGCAGAAAAGGGAGAACTCCCGCATTTCGTCACGCAGCTTATAGACTCGTATGTCACTGCTAATGTGTCTATCGTCTGTTTATTCAATTCATTAGCCTACCAAAGACCCTCCATCCTATGACTCAGTTGGGCATGGGTGTTGCAGCTTTGAACCACGACTCCGAGTTTCAAGCAGCCTATGAGCGTGGAATCAAGAAGCCTGAGTATTGGACGTATACTCTTGAAGACTGCTTGAATCTCATCGCGAAACTCCCTGCTCTGGCGGCCCGTATTTACCGCAATGTTTACCACCCCGAGAGGTCTTTAGAATCTGTTGATAAGAACTTGGATCTTGTCGGTTAGTGTCTGGTTAGCATCATCTGCAAAGGCATGCTTAGTTTGCGTACAGGTAACTACTCGAACATGCTCGGGTTTGGTCAAAATGAGCACTTGACAGAGTATCTCCGTTTGTACATCGCACTGCACGGTGACCATGAAGGCGGTAATGCCTCAGCTCACACTGCTCGTGAGTACTCCTCTACATTGATGTTTTATCCATTTTTGACGAATACGATCAGACCTTGTTGGATCAACGCTCTCTGATCCGTATCTATCCTACTCCGCCGCTCTCTTTGCACTCGCGGGACCTCTTCATGGGTACGCTTCCAGTCATTGCACGTATAGTTTAAATGTCTTCATACACCTTCAGCCTAGCGAACCAGGAAGTACTACGATGGCAGATGGCCATGCAAAAGGAGATTGGTGACAACATAACTCATGAGAACATCAAGGACTACCTCTGGAAGACGTTGAAAAGCGGTCAAGTCGTACCCGGGTGCGTCTCTGGCGTGCTAAGTCTGACAGGTATACCCTGACCTGATGTTTAGATATGGGCACGGGGTTCTGCGTAACCCTGACCCTCGTTTCACTGCTCTCCAGGAATTCTGCAAGACTCGCCCAGATCTGCAAGCAAGTCCCATAATTCAGCTCGTGCAACAGGTCAGAATTACTATTATCGTCATCTTTCATATAATAAATCTCTATCTGCGTAGACGGCCGATATTGCCCCTGACGTTCTCAAAGAGCATGGAAAGGTGTGTGCTCGTGTACAGATAGAGTAATTCTGCTGACATCATTCTGGAGACGAAAAACCCTTACCCGAATGTAGATGCAACTTCAGGCAAGTCCTTCCACCCATGGTATAGTCCTGGGTCCTGATGATCATTGTGTAAGGCTGCGTGTTGTACCATTACGGTCTGACTGAGTTCAAGTACTACACCGTTATTTTTGGTGTTTCCAGAGGTAAGCAACCGCCCACTACCTTTCTCATGTCGCTCATGTGCCGCAATCTAGCTTTGGGAGCTCTGACCCAATTAGTGTGGGCACGAGGTCAGTATTGATGGTTTCTAATAGTGTGATGTTCTAATGATGTGATATAGCTCTGGGACTGCCTCTCGAACGGCCTAAATGTACGTATCTGATGAAAATAACTCAAGTGATAAGGCTAATCAGTTTCTTACTCAGCGTATTCGATGGACGCCCTTCAGAAGCTTATCAAGAACTAAGTAGACATTACCAGAGACGCCGAGATCTCCATTATGGATGGGCGTAAGTGTATCTGGTAATTATTATTAGAATGAGGCTGTCTCAACGTCAGAACTACTGAGATTGATAATACCGTCTAGAGACGAAATGATAACAAACGGCGTGCCCAAAATATAACTCAGTGCTCAGCGTGGAGAGAGAGAGTATCAGCTATAGTGGCAAAACCCGCGCTACTTCAGCCTGCCTCGTTGGGCTAGCTACGGTCACATGCCCAACCTTGTTTACGCATTCACTTTAGTTCTTGCTAAAAATACAGACAACCTTACTTCGGTCCATTTCTGATAAGCTCGATTTTCTCTCACCCTTTTGCCTGGTTGGACTCTCGCCATTGCATCGGACGCACGCGAATTCGAATGCACTCTAATCAAATCCATTCGGCTGCAAGCGGAATGGTGACTTGCAGCCTAGACGGGAAAGTGACGATGTCATACATGCAACATACTCATCCAACGATACACTAGAGACAATCCAGAGCGATGTCGAACAAAGACCGGACGAGGCAGCCATGGAAGAACCAGACATACTCTGCCACGGAGATACGATCCTCCGGGCATGAGGCTCAATCTGAATCGCTGAAGTCGTGAAGAGCAGGATTAATGCATGCACCCCCTTAGTGTGTGCGTAGACTAATGGTTCCTACAAGGTAACGAAGGACATGCTTTGCTGCAGTGCAGTGACGTGGTTCGAGGGAGGCGTTGTTCTGAGCGACACGCATGACGGTGTGTGCAATGTCTGGCCGGGTGTACATGGCAAGCTACAAAAGTCTGCCGACGAGTTTGTGGAACTCGGCTTCCAGATCATCGAGATGAGGGCGTACATCGATGGGACGCGTGAAGTTCGGTTTCATGAGCAGTGCGACGGGATTGCAATCAGACATTCCGTGTTCCTCCAACTTGCAATATAGTCCTTTTCGTGCATTCAACTCGCGAGTCTGACGACTGCGAACGAATCGATTCCGAGATAGACCGCACCGAGATCAGTAATGTCAAAACGATCTGCAATGATTTTATTGGAACCACATTTATATCCCGCAAAATATGGAAAAACGCCATGCATGGTATCGTACACCTAAACCAGAGATTCGAAAGAGAGTAACAATGCCACCAAGAAGGTCAAACTAAATCAATCGCTAAAGGACGAAAGAGAGTAATCCAGAGTCAGCATGTTCATGAAACCCATAAAGGCATCGGGTACCAAAAAAAAGGCAAGGAAAGGGTAAGAGGGGTAAAGCAGACTGTTGCATGAACTGTCCAGGTATACAAGAGTGTCAAAAACGCCTTGGCATCGGCTGCTGTTGTTGAGCAGGGGGTATTTGTTGTGGGTATGGCTGTTGTGGGGGCGGCGCACGGCCAGGGAGCATAGCAGGTGGAGGGCCACTAGGGGGGCCCGGCATGCGGTGCTGCTGAGGTTGAGGGTGACGTCCAGGAGGGAACCCAGCATAACCGCCTTGAACAGGACCAGGAGGGATAGACCCTGGATGTGGCATGGACCCTGGTGGGGGTCCTTGTCCTGGTGGGAATCCTCTTGGAGGGGGGAACCCTTGTGGAGGACGACCACCTGGGACAGGTGCTGATCCACCTTGGGCATGAGGAGGGGGCGGACCACGGGGCGGATGCTGCTGCTGGGATGGGCCAGGGCGTAGTTGATTTTGGGGAGGCGCGGATGTTGGAGCTGGGTCGTGAAGCGCAACAGGCGCCGGTCGACCGCCAGGTCCAGACGGACTGTTTGACATGGGACCGGGTGCGGCAGGAGGGGGTGGATTCTTCTCAGCGGCCTTGATTATCTCATCGCTGTTTCAAATGAGCGTGGAATAGATACTTGATAAGGTGATGAATGACATACTCAAGAAGGTTCAGTACTGCGCAGAGAACGACCCATTCGACACAGTCCTCATTTCCCTCTCCCAAGGTCTGCCAAACTGCTTTTTCCTCGGGTGATTTTCCCGTAATGCTAATTCTAGTTCCGCCACCGTTCGGACCTGGGGGGTTCTTCTGTATCTTTCCGAATTCGATACGCTTTGGGGGAATATTATGACCTGCATAGGCGAAGTAGAACATGCTCCAGAAAGCGGCATTAGGATTTGGTTTGGATATTTGGAAGAGGGGGAGATCGGGGGAGTCTGGGGATGGTAGAGAGAGCTTGTAGATCGGTGATATGACGCCTGTGTTTGCAATTGTCCACTTGAGATTTCGAGAAGCTTCGCATCTCACGAAGCGCGCAGCGGAAGAGTTTGAATGGCCGGGGTCGGATGCAGTAGATTTACCAGGATTCTGGCGTGGGGGGAAAAGCTTTGCAACACAGAGATCACCTTGGGGAGAGGGGGTCAAAAGGTAGTTCTCAGAATTCTGATATGAGAATTTAGAAGGGATTGAAGACGAGTAGGTTATATGACATACGAAGTTCGTGTGAAGGTAAGAGTAGAGAATGTTAGACGGTTGACCTGTTGTCTATTAATGAATGAGCCCTTGGATAAAATTGATTGAGACTTGCCATGAGGAGTTACTATGAGAGTAGGAAGATGGTTTGGGATGGACGGGTGAGTAGGAGAGGTATATACGGCGTAGATGGCTAAACCACTGGATATCAGCTATATAGCATGAAAAGGGAATTGAAACGTACCAGCCATGGGGGAAGAAGACAAGCTGTGGTGACTTCCAGAAAAGGAATGCCACCTCCAGCTGTAGTATTGTTTCAAAGTACTTACTAGTGGTCCTCGACGACAAGTCGTGACTTGTGACTGAAATGTGATTGTTGAGTCACGCCCTTCATCGATCCCCCAACAGCAACAGCAACCAACAAGTAGTGCTATGAAGGGGCTCAAGAAATCTTTCGTTAGTTTATCTATTCATCACTATCCAACATGTCTAATATCATCCATAGCTTAACAGGAAGAGTTCTCAAGATTCTTCCTCATCAAAGTCTAAAGATCAAAAATCTACATCTACTTCACAAGTAGCTCCACCACCACCACCAAACACAGCAAAGCCACTTCCCCAACCTGTTTCAATTGGTCTGCCAGGCGCATCAGCCAACAACTCTAGTAATCACTCTCTCACTTCGCAAAGTTCCTCTTCCTCAGGTCGTCCAGCTTCTTCTACTTCAATCACTCCTTCTCCACCTGATCGCAGGTACCCGTCCACAGGCAACCCATCCCCCATTCCTCCAATTGTCGTCGTTAGCTCAGACCCATCATCTGACCTAGCACCCCGCTCAGGTCCATATAGTTCTCCAGAGCGTAGCACAATTGGTTTAGATGGCACTTCCACTCCTCCACGCGCCAACACACTCAACCGTCTACGCTCCGGTCCACGCGACACAATACCTATTGTCGGAAAACCTCCACGCAAGCAGCGCAGCAGTCGGTTTGTTGTCACCGAAAAGGTCGACATTGAAAAATTGCCCCCTTTCTCAGGTATTCATCAGTTCCGTTTAGACCCTTGTCGCGTCACTAATTATCCACTTTATTCAGATATTCCCATTAACGAGCGTTCTCTTTTATTTATTAAGAAGCTCAATCAGTGCCGCGTCTTATTCGACTTCAATGACGCGAGTGCAGAGCTTAAAGGTAAACAGATCAAGGCACAGACCTTGCACGAAATGCTCGAGTATATCACAACTCAAAGGAACGTTATCACTGAAAATATATACCCCGAGGTCGTCAACATGGTTAGTCTCAAATTACCCAACACTCATCTTCCACTCACTTTTATATTAGTTTGCTGTCAACCTCTTCCGATCAATACCCCCGCCTGTTAACCCCACCGGTGATGCTTTTGACCCTGAAGAAGACGAGCCTGTCTTGGAACTCGCCTGGCCTCATCTTCAGATTGTGTACGAATTTTTCCTTCGCTTCGTCGAGAGCCCAGATTTCAACACCAATCTCGCCAAGCGATACATTGACCAACCCTTCGTGCTGAATCTCCTCGAACTCTTTGACTCTGAAGACCCTCGCGAACGCGACTTTCTCAAGACTACCCTACACCGCATTTACGGTAAATTCCTCAACCTTCGGGCCTTCATCCGTCGGTCGATAAACAACGTCTTTTATCATTTCATTTATGAATCCGAGAGACATAATGGGATCGCAGAGCTCCTTGAAATATTGGGCTCAATCATCAACGGCTTTGCCCTACCTCTAAAGGACGAGCACAAGACATTCTTGACCCGCGTGCTTCTCCCCCTACATAAAGTCAAGAGTCTTTCGCTTTATCACCCTCAGCTTGCATACTGTGTTGTGCAGTTCCTAGAGAAGGACCCAGCCCTGGCGGAGGAGGTTATGCTCGGATTGCTCAAATACTGGCCCAAGGTCAACTCCCCAAAAGAGGTCATGTTCCTGAATGAAGTCGAGGAAGTACTTGATGTCACCGATCCTTTGGAGTTCCAGAAGATCCAGGTCCCGCTATTCCAGCAACTTGCCCGATGTATCAACAGCCAGCATTTCCAGGTCGCTGAGCGAGCCTTACTATACTGGAACAACGAATACGTAGTCAATCTTATGAGCGATAATCTTGCCGTCCTCCTCCCAATCGTCTTTCCCGCGTTGTATACAAATTCCAAGAGCCACTGGAACCGGTGCGTCGGCCGTTTCTATCAATTGGCTGCTACTCACCTCTCGTTAGGACTATTCATGGGATGGTGTATAATGCACTAAAGTTGTTTATGGAGATCAACCCGGAGTTGTTTGACGACACGATGCAACACTACAGGCAACGGAAGATCGAGTAAGTTCACTAACATTTTACCTTGGTTTAATGTGAACCCAAGATGACAGGGAGCAACAACATGCTGTTGAGCGTTATGAGCAATGGCAGAAAGTCCGCGAGAAGGCAATACAGAATGCTGGGGGGAAGTTTCCTCCAGGATTTCAAGAGGTCGAACGCTTACCCCCACCGCCTCCATCACCGAATGATGATTCGGATATTTTGGACTTATCGATGGAGCTGAATGCAGTGTCACTTGATGGCGATATTCCGGGTGACCTGGACGAATCGGGTATCGAACGAGTGCCCATGGCTGACCCTGGGTTGGATGTGAGTGGCGCCTCAACCATCAACGATCCTGGTACACCTGTTTAACATGTGGTTTCAGCGTGAGTTCCCCCAAGTCGGAGGTGATCATTCTCCTGTTTCTCAGAGTCCTCATGTACGACGAAAGAGTGTTCTTCCTGGTGCGTGCCTTTTCATATTATCAAACCGCAGTTTAAGCTTATGCCTCGTGTTCAGTGGATCCGACTGTAATTCGTGATCTACAAGCCCATCGAAGCTTGGATGATACTCTTGGAATCGGGGGGCATCATACAAATGGGGCATAAATGCACGACCACGTACTTTTTTCGTATGATCATGACTGCGAATTGACAAGATACTATCTGAGCTTCAGACCCACATGACTGACGACATTTTCAATTCGATTCTGCGCTACCTCATTTCTGCATGTGTTATATTTCTCGACGACATCAGAGCATGTCATTCTATCTTCTAATGAGCAAGCCTGGAGCGTTTTACAGCATTTCGTTATATGCTTCTGAAATTTCGTTTTACCACTACCGTACGATACATATCCTCTAGAGAAATATTTTGGACATTATCGTCATATAACCAATGTCAAGGGCAGTGCGAAATTCCTATGTTGTGGTTATGTAATCGATCTACGTCAGGAAAGAACCCTCTAGAATGGTGAAGGAACGTCCTGGAATGATGAAGAATATCTTTCATATAAAAGATGTCAGCTCGCGTTCAATCTTTCTTCACTGTCATCTCTTTTCTCAGTCCCAGCTCGCAGAGCACAAAACGCATCCTTAATCTTTCCAAGAATTCTGATCTGTTAAAATGTCCCCAGCCAAAGCTATTGGTATCGACTTGGGCACAACTTACTCGTAAGTTTGCTTTAAGGAGTCTCATCTCGGATCGACTCAGAAATCATCATTATCTAGTTGTGTTGGTGTTTGGCAAAATGATCGCGTTGAGATCATCGCCAACGACCAGGGAAACCGCACCACCCCCTCCTATGTCTCCTTTTCGGATAACGAGCGGTTGATTGGTGATGCTGCCAAGAACCAGGTCGCCATGAACCCCCACAACACGTAAGATTTGACCTTTTTTTCCTTTCTCGCCCTAACCCGTCTTCATAGCGTGTTCGACGCCAAGCGTCTCATCGGTCGTAAATTCGACGATGCTGAGGTACAGTCAGACATCAAGCACTTCCCTTTCACCGTTTTCAACAAGGGTGGTAAACCCTACATCCGAGTGGAGTACAAGGGAGAGCAGAAGGAGTTTTCTCCTGAAGAAATCTCGTCGATGGTTCTCCTCAAGATGAAGGAGACCGCTGAGTCCTACTTGGGCTACAACATCTCTGACGCTGTCGTTACCGTCCCTGCCTACTTCAACGACTCCCAGAGACAGGCTACAAAGGATGCTGGTACCATCTCTGGAATGAACGTTCTTCGTATCATCAACGAGCCCACTGCTGCTGCCATCGCATACGGTCTTGATAAGAAAGTTATCGGTGAGCGCAACGTTCTCATCTTCGATCTTGGAGGAGGAACCTTCGATGTGTCCCTTTTGACAATCGAGGAGGGTATCTTCGAGGTGAAGGCCACTGCCGGTGACACCCATTTGGGTGGTGAGGACTTTGACAACCGTCTTGTCAACCACTTTGCGCAAGAGTTCAAGCGCAAGCACAAGAAGGGTAAGCAACTTTGTGATTTGTCAATTCCTAGGCTAACAATATTGTAGATCTCTCCTCCAACCCTCGCGCGCTCCGTCGTCTACGGACTTCTTGCGAGCGTGCCAAGCGCACTCTGTCGTCGGCCACCCAGACTTCCATAGAGATTGATTCCCTCTTCGAGGGTATCGACTTCTACACCTCTCTTACTCGTGCCCGTTTCGAGGAGTTGTGCGCGGACCTTTTCCGCAGCACGCTCGAGCCCGTCGAGAAGGTCCTCCGGGACTCCAAGATCGACAAGGCAAATGTCCACGAAATCGTCCTTGTCGGTGGTTCCACGCGTATCCCTCGTATCGTCAAACTCGTATCTGACTTCTTCAACGGCAAGGAGCCCAACAAGAGCATCAACCCTGATGAAGCCGTTGCCTACGGTGCTGCCGTTCAGGCTGCCATCCTTTCCGGAGACACCTCCGAGAAGACGCAAGACCTCCTGCTTCTCGATGTCGCTCCTCTATCGCTCGGTATCGAGACTGCTGGTGGTGTCATGACCGCCCTCATCAAGCGCAACACCACCGTCCCCACCAAGAAGTCCGAGACCTTCTCGACATACTCGGACAACCAGCCTGGTGTCTTGATTCAAGTGTACGAGGGTGAACGTGCACGCACCAAGGACAACAACTTGCTTGGCAAGTTTGAGCTATCTGGCATTCCTCCGGCACCTCGTGGTGTTCCTCAGATTGAGGTCACGTTCGACATTGACGCCAACGGTATCCTGAACGTCTCCGCATCTGACAAAACTACTGGGAAATCAAATCGCATCACGATCACCAACGACAAGGGCCGCTTGTCCGCAGAGGAGATTGAGCGCATGGTCAACGAAGCTGAGAGATATAAGGGTAGGCTTTACTCTTCTATACTGTTTGCATGCATAAATTGACTTGTATTATCTTACAGCTGAGGATGAGGCTGCCGCTGCTCGCATTCAGGCCAAGAACGGCCTTGAATCATACGCATACAACCTCCGCAATTCCATCACCGACGACAAGCTTGCTGACAAGTTCGACCCCGCCGACAAGTCGAAGCTCGAGAGCTCCGTTAACGAGACTATCTCGTGGCTGGATGCATCACAAGAAGCATCGAAGGAGGAGTACGAGGGGAAGCAGAAGGAGTTGGAGAGCATCGCCAACCCTATCATGCAGAGGCTCTACGGCGCTGCAGGTGGTGCTCCTGGTGGTTTCCCCGGTGCTCCAGGCGGTGCACCAGGTGGTTTCCCTGGTGCCAGCGAGGACGGTCCTTCAGTGGAGGAGGTGGACTAAAGCAGCCGCCTGTTCTCTTACTTGCCTAGTGTTTTTGTCGAGCATTTTACGTCATATTTTCATCGCATTGCACGGTACGAGTGTGTCATGAACAAATAATGTCCTTCCTATACACTGTATGCTACATTATCGCATTTCCTAGAATGAATTTTTCTTTCATCTCTCCGTCTTGTAGTGCAAACGTGCCTTTATGAGTCAAGTTGATCAGCTAAGTATAGATAATGAATATAATATGTAGACGTGCGTAAAACAAGGGTTTCTACATCGGTAACGCTGAGCGTTGACCATGGCGCAAACACCTTCAAGGACAAGACCCCCTCAACATATGACAAGGTTCGTTATATCGAAGGTTATCAAGGAAAATCAGCACAAAACTAGTCTTCAGGAATGTCTACGACCAGCTCTTTCATCACGGGTCGAGTCTCTCCAAGCTGAGAGATGCGATTGCAGCAGGCCGCCTTTCTCCAGTCTTCAGATGGCGGTATCGGAGTACCGGGGAGAAGTATAGCATGGAAGGCAAGGAGAACACAGTGAATTAGTTTGTATGCTCATACCGACTCCCATTAGTTGTTCCTCTTGAGAAATGTGCCACTGGAATCTCCGCCTCATGAAATACCAGTACCACCGCTGGAAGCTTTACGCGCCCACCGAAAGCAGTACTCCGAGCTGCTGCTGGAGAAGATGCGTGCTCCGGATGGATCTTATGATGAGACTTTTGTCGTGCCAGGCCTTACCATTCCGAGGAGGAACGTCAAGCCGCCGACGGACTTGGAGATGAACAATCCTCTTAGTTTACATGATGAGGTAGCAACGTTTTTCCATGTTTTTAACCATCATGTTAATGGTGTCCATTAAAGAACCCTTGGAGGGAATGGTTTGCAGCTGTAGACCTCCGGAAGACTATCCAGCAAGATGTTGAGCGGACGTGAGTTCCCTCCTTAAAGATTGGCATCTTTTTGTGCATCTTCTTTCCTGCAGTTTCCCTGATATAGGCTACTTTCGCAACGATGATGTGCAGCAGCAACTCACCAATATCCTGTTCCTATACGCTGTCATGCATCCCGATCTTCAATACCGACAAGGCATGCATGAGCTACTTGCACCCGTCTATTATGTCGTAGGTATGTGATTCAACCGCTCTTATGTCTTCCATGTGTCCGCAGTCTATGTCTCGTCTGCTTGGTCCACTCATATGACTGTTTTCAAAGCTGAAGGATAAATATCTTTGGCTGTAGATTATGACTCCACTGCCGACGACGCTACATCATCGTCGGACGAATCTGCCTTTCGGGAGGTCTGTTCGCGGACATGGATTGCAGCTGATTCATGGGCACTTTTTTGCGCGATCATGGACGACATCTCCAAGTGGTACGAGTGGCGCGAGCCATCACCTGTTGAAACATCCTCTGCCCGTGGTCAAGTCAATTTTAAGCCATACATGTCACCTATCACACTGGCCTGCAACAACATTCAAAATAATCTTCTAAAATCCGTCGATCCTATTCTTCATGGCGTTTTGCAGAACTCGGGTATCGAGCCGCAGATCTATGGCCTGTGTGTGATTCCATGTCTTCTGGGCCCTCTCAGGCTAATTTGATCAATCACATTGTCAGACGATGGCTTCGCCTGTTGTTCACTCGTGAACTTTCTATGGACGATGCGATGATCTTATGGGACGGTTTGTTCGCGAACCCAATCCCAATTTCTGAGCTTGCTCAGTGGATATGCGTGGCTATGCTTATACGAATCCGAACCAAACGTGAGTTCTTTATATCCTCTTGAGTTATATTCAGATCGTAATGTTCTGCAGTGATCGCGTCGGACTATAGCATGCAACTAACAAACCTATTGCGATATCCTCCCTCTCAGGCGGAAGATGGAGCCCCGCATCATGCAATCCTATTACTTCATCAAGCATCGTCGCTAGAAATCTCTCGGACACCCTCCGCGGGCGCAATTGTGATGACTGAAAACCGCAACCTTCTCAATATTCCCTTAGAAGTACCTGATCCGCCTGTCCAAACGAGGCGGAGGGCACGTCCTCAGATCTCCTCATCAGATTCCCATGGAACTTCCGCTGGCCAAGGGGAGAATATTCGTCAACCGCCCTCGTTCCAGATAGGGCTGCCAGAATTGATTGCTCGGGGGCTCATGGATCGCGGGGAGAGCCTTGGGATTAACAAGACTGTAATGAATGCGGTATCCGAACTAAGGGTAAGCCCCAGATAATATTGAAAGTGTCATTCTCTTGATTTGTTGTATCGTAGCGCAACCTCCCCGAATTGGCCGCATCTCTGGTTCGCACGCCATCTACAGTATCGGCACCGTATGCAGCATATCCCTTGCTCGACGAACATATGACAGATGATAGGCACATTTCGGAGAACGAAAGCCATATGGAAACGGAACGAGAACTGAGAGCGCAGAATAAACGCCTTGGTGAATCGATCACTTGGATACTGGGCATTTTGCAGTCCAAGGAACCATCGGAAGCCAAGGATGAGGATGCTGCAAGAGCTTCGGTGCAACAAAAGGAAGCTCTCGAGTCACTAGCTTATGTGAGGGACATCTTAGGTGGGGAGGTGAAGGAGATCGATGATCGTCGTCTGTGGGGGGCGGAAGAATACAATAAGCGTTTGGAAGGTCAGAGCAAGCAGGAGTCTAGGGCAGTGTCTGTCTCCCGACCAAGACAACTTTCAACCACGACCCCTACAAATGAGCACCCACTACCACCATTGCAGCGGGAAGTCCGAACTTTTTCTCCCAACACGTTCGGGACTCCTGTGTCATTTCGGCCAACGACATCACATTCTTCTTCGATGGCCTCAAAGGCAATTCCTATGGCATCGTCGACTCATAATCGCTTTCAGTCGTCGACTGGGGCATTCCCCGTCAAGCCGATTACGATGCAGCGGACACCCCTTCGCATATCATCTAATAATCCCTTCCAACGCACATCTGATGTAGGTGGGATGCCGCCTGCTGTTGCCACGGCCGTCAAAAGCGATCAAAGTCCGAAGATCCGAAGTGAAGTGCAGCAGCACGATCCGCTGGGAGTTCTCAAGTAGATTGTTTGCCTGTAGCGGTTACAAGAGATGGTGATCCCGTCAATAGATTTCTATACAGGTGGAGCATGGACTAATGCATTTAGATTATGGTATGTACTAGTAGAAGGCTGATTGCGGAGGTTGTATGCAATTTGATTGACCAATGGTGGGAAGGCTATTGGCCGACTCGGCGCGTGATTTCCTAATGCAAGGCCTCCGGGTGTCAACAACTTTCCCGTAGTTCATCGGGTCTTTCGCAGGTCTTTTGTTTATTTTTCTTCCTCGCCGTCGACGACGACAACATCTATGCTCAGGAAGTCGGTGTCTAAGGTGGTGCCCTCTCGGGCTCTGCTTCATCCTCAGCGCGCTTTTTCCACTTCACTTCCCGTCAGGAGAGTCGTTGCGTCTAATCCAGTCAAGGCAGAGGAGGTCAAGGTATATCCCAGCTCCCATGTCGTTTTTTCTATCATTCTGACGGTTTTTAAGTCTTGGTCTTCAGGCAAATACCCTCTTATCGAGCATGAGTACGATGCTATTGTCGTGTGCGTAATGTTCCAAACCAATAAAGAATTATCAGAGCTGATTATGCGACCTTTTAGTGGTGCTGGTGGTGCCGGTCTTCGCGCTGCCTTCGGTCTTGCGGAAGCTGGTTTCAACACGGCTTGTATCACTAAGTTATTCCCAACCCGGAGTCACACTGTTGCGGCACAGGTATGTTGAACCATGTTCAGCAGTGTCGGACACACTCATATCACATTCTCAAGGGCGGTATCAATGCTGCTCTTGGCGTAAGTGCACTTTGAAGAGTTAATTATCTTTTTACTGATGAGTTACCTGTAGAACATGACGGAAGACGACTGGCGATGGCACATGTACGACACGGTTGGTGTTCTTTGATACACTGCGCTCTCAAGTTCTTTAGTCGAGCTGAATTCTCACAGGTTAAAGGATCCGACTGGCTTGGTGACCAGGATGCAATTCATTATATGTGTCGAGAGGCTCCCAGATCCGTCTACGAGGTCAGCTTGGATCTTGCGTGTTGTTTCCTTGGCTGATTACTTTTTCTAGCTTGAACATTATGGTGTTCCATTCTCCCGTACCAAGGATGGAAAAATTTACCAACGTGCCTTTGGGGGTCAGTCTTTGAAGTATGGCAAAGGTGGCCAAGCATATCGTTGTGCTGCGGCTGCTGATCGTACCGGTCACGCTCTCCTCCACACCCTTTACGGCCAGTCGTTGCGACACAACACGAATTTCTTCATCGAATACTTTGCTCTGGACTTGATCATGCAGGATGGCGAGTGTGTTGGAGTTATTGCGCTCAATATGGAGGACGGTACGCTCCACCGCTTCAGGGCACATAAGACAGTCCTCGCAACTGGCGGTTACGGTCGTGCCTATTTCAGCTGCACGAGTGCGCACACTTGTTCTGGCGATGGTAATGCAATGATTGCTCGTGCTGGCCTTCCTCTGCAGGATCTGGAGTTCGTTCAGTTCCACCCAACCGGCATCTATGGCGCCGGCTGCCTTATCACTGAGGGTGACGGTTTTTTTGTGAGATATCTGCTTTGTAGCTGACTGTGCGTTAGGTTCTCGCGGTGAGGGAGGCTACCTCCTGAACTCAGAGGGCGAGCGTTTCATGGAGCGTTATGCACCCACGGCCAAGGACCTTGCTTCCCGTGATGTCGTATCTCGTTCGATGACGATTGAGATCCGTGAAGGTCGTGGTGTTGGACCTGAGAAGGACCACCTATACCTTCAGCTCAGTCATTTGCCTCCTGAAGTCCTCCACGAGAGGCTGCCCGGTATCTCCGAGACTGCTGCTATTTTCTCTGGAGTCGATGTCACTAAGGAGCCTATCCCAGTACTACCTACTGTCCATTACAACAGTTAGTATATCTACTACACTGTCCTCTGGTCTGTAGCTGACATTTTGATAGTGGGTGGTATTCCCACCAGGTACACTGGCGAGGTGCTGACTGTTGACGAGGTGAGCTTGTGCTAATTGCACTTGTCACATTGCGCTCACAAGCTGTGGTCAGAATGGCAAGGACAAGGTCGTACCCGGTCTGTATGCAGCTGGTGAAGCTGCGTGCGTGTCTGTTCACGGCGCGAACCGTCTTGGTGCAAACTCCCTTTTGGATCTCGTTGTCTTCGGTCGCGCGTGTGCTCATCATATCGCGAAGACCTTGACTCCCGGAAAGGCTCACAAGACTATTCCTGAGGAGTCCGGCCTTAAAAGCGTGGAATTCTTGGACCAGATCAGAAACGCCGATGGCCCCAAGCCTACTGCCGAAATAAGGCTAGAGATGCAAAAAGCCATGCAAACCGATGCCGCTGTCTTCCGGTGCGTTCCACCACCTACGTTTAAATAAACAAAGATACTGACAATTCTCGCAGCACACAACAGACTCTCGACGAAGGTGTTCAGAAGATACATCAGATATACAAATCGTTTGATAATGTTGGCATCAAGGATAGGAGCATGATCTGGAACTCGTACGGCTTTGTTTATATGATGCTGATTCCCTGCTCACGCGTTCATCTTAGTGATCTCGTTGAGACTCTCGAACTACGCAACCTCCTACAGTGTGCAGTTCAAACCATCACGGCCGCTGCTGCTCGCAAGGAGTCCCGAGGTGCTCATGCTCGCGAGGACTACCCTGAGGTTAGTATCTGCATCACATCCTATGAATCTATCTGACCTAGCTGTAGCGTGACGACGACCACTGGATGAAGCACACCCTCACAATGCAGCCTGATGTCAACTTACCCGACGTCACTCTCAAGTACCGCAGTGTCATTGGCGAGACTCTCGATGAAAATGAATGCAAGGCAGTCCCGCCATTCAAGCGGACATACTGAGCAGGTAGTCGGATACTAAATTGACTACATGTTTTAATGGGTCAAAATTGACTGTCCACTATATGCACGAAAAATAAATTCATGTATTTTGACAAAAATGGCAAAAATATTATATATCACATTCCCATGAAGTTCCCATGGTTTTTGTTTGACCACCATGTCGAGCAGAGCAGGTGGCCTGTACGGCGGCATCCAATTCTCTACTGGCGCAACCTTTAGCCTTTCATCATCATCTACATCTGCTTCGCCTGCAACACCGACGCCTGCAATCAAAGAAGTTGACAAAGTCGAAACTCCCGTAGCTCTAGAGGCTATTTCAGCACCAGTACCAAGTAACACAAGCAATGATGGAACCAAGGCAGACGATGGAAGTATTGGAGGTACAGACTCTGGGTCTGTAGGAAAGCTTTCAGCCGGTATCTCCCCCTCCTCTGCACATCGAGTCTAGAAGCAAAATATTGACCGTTGCAATCATCATGCTACTCCTCCGAACTCGCACAGGGTGGTCCGCTGCACTTGCGTTCGCTCCCGTCCGTCGTGCACCAGCAAAACCCAAGCCCGCTTTAAGTCGCCTTCCCGTGGGTGCCAAGGCCCTACCCACTCCTGCAACAGCTTCAATTTCCGCTACCATGCCAGCTTCGGGCCTTTCCGCAACAGCCGTCGTCTTCGCTCCGCCAGAACTGGTAACTACGGATCAACAAGAAGAAGCCAAAGATGATACCGTCCAGAAGGACTCCACATGGCGCAAAAAGGAAGGCTGGGGCAAGAAGGTCAAACCTCCATCCATGATCCTTGATGAAGATATCAATGGCTTCAAGGCTCAACACAAACGCAGGGCTGGCGGAGGTGGTGGTGGAAGGAAGGGGAGGAAGGTATGTATTTCTTTGCTCGGTTTAGTGTCTTCGTTAATTCTTGATTTGCAGAATAAGAATGCCCCAGTTGTGGCGGTATGGGATCCGTTGGAGCCGTACGACACTCTGAAGCCGAATGACTACAACGAATATAAATTATGGAAGCAACGTGACCGCGTTGAGCGGGCATCCGAACGTGCGGCTGAAAGGAAACGTGCTCGTGAGGCTCTCGACAGAGGCAGTGATCACACAGGCAGCGACAGTGAAGGCGAACGCCCAAAAAAGAGTGGTGTGCAAACTAACTCTGGATATGTGTCGAGGTTTAACTTCTGGTTTCAGGGAGATTTGACAACGGGTCTTTCGATACGTGGTCTCGCGCAGATGATGAACGCCCTCGTGGGCTTGGTGCCATCAATACTCCAGCAGTCCATGTGGATCGCAATATGTCAGGGGAGGAGGCCTTTCAGCGGCGACTTGCAATGTCTTCTAGTGCTGCTGCTCGAGTACCGTCACCGCTTCCTGTGCCTGTTGATCTTAACTTATCGGGTGAGGAGGCCTATCAGCGCCGCCTTGCCATGGCCTCGGGAGGTAACCGCCCGCACACGTTCTCTGCATCCGCATCCGCATCCCCTCTCCGTCAACCGTCATCGGGTGGCACCGATGACGAGGAAACAAGCCGACCGCCTGTTCCCTTAACGCAGCCAACGCAACTGGTGGTGCCCGTGCCTCCAACGGGTTCTCCTCCTCCATTGGCATACAACCCTTTTGCACCACCGGCAAATATTCCACCGCCACCACCTCCCCCATCATCTCAAATACCAGTTGCGCTTGAAGACAAGGTCAAGGCCGCTGCAAGTATTGCAGCACGCCTTAGTGCGCTTGCCGCGACTGCAGGTGGGTCGGGACCAGGATCAAGTCTACCCGGCGCACCACCGCAAGAAGACACTCAAACACGGTATGCCCGAGTACATTTACTATCGAACACATCTGACAATTATATCAGCTCTGATTCACAGGGTTTTGCAGCTCGTATGATGGCTAAGTGGGGGCACAAGGAAGGTCAAGGTCTGGGTGCTGATGGGAGCGGTATTGTAAATGCCCTCACAGTCGAGCAAGTCGCTGCCCAAGGCAAAGGTAAAAAGGGTCAAAATCAAACGCAGGGCCAAGGCAAAGTCAAACCAGCTATGGGCTCAAAGATGGGTCGGATTATTAATGACAACGAGGACGCGAAGGGTCGTGAAGACCGCTTAAGATTTGGGGAGCCCAGTCGTGTGGTAGTGCTAACCAATATGGTTGGACCGGAGGATGTGGATGATGGCGATCTGAGAGATGAAATTGGTAAGTCTTAGACAGTTCATTGTTAAATTCTGACTGAATTCCTTCAGGTGAAGAGTGTTCGAAGAATGGAACCGTCGAGCGAGTTATTGTACATCTGACTCAACCTCCACCGGCAGACCCAGAGGAATCTGTCCGCATATTTGTATTGTTTGCGGGCCCCTCTGGTGCGTGGAAAACTGTAAGGGAGTTGGATGGCAGGTACTTTGGAGGGAGGGCTGTGCGGGCGAGATACTTTTCGGAAATTGCTTTCTCTCTGCATGACTTGGATATTCCAATCGCTTAGCTTAGCTATTTGGCATGGTTAGTCGAGATTTAGTTTATCAAAAATATTTGAAGTTGATCTGAAGACCTTAACGGGGCTCGCAACAGGGTCTCATAAGAACCTAAATGCTGGTGGTGCAGACTTCAGTCTTCGTCTACGCCATAATTTTAAAGCTTGAAGCTTCAGAAGGTTCCGCGGCGCCTTGACAGCGAAGTTTACGTGAGTGTACATCAGTACTCAGTACTCAGTACCCAAATGTATTGTTATTCAATTTAAACGGGACACCCCATCGGTTCCTACGTCCCAAAACCATTTTGTCCCTGAGCTTGAGGGACTTTTCATCTTACACTATCGGTGAGGTGATGCTGGAGGGTCCGTGGGCTAATCCGGTCCATGCATGCGGAAGTCTTCTCCCTTAAGAAGAGTGCCAAGGGCAGCAGCAGCCACCAAGGTAGTTGTAAGTAAGTAGTTAAGATTGTCTCCTTGACAGTCACGTCAAAAGGCAATGATAATCAATGCTCAGCTTGATTATCGCAGACAGTATTTATGCTGATGATGGGAACCCGGAAACTAGTGCATTGGCCCGTTCAGCGCAGTTGTATATACGCCAGATTGTGCGCCGCTCCACTCATCAAAGTCCATCAATTCTACGTCAAACCTCCCTTCAGCTGCAATCATCACGATCACAAGGGTTTCATAGCAGTTACCTTTCTCTTTTTCTTTTCCCTTCATGTGATTCTTTTAACAGGTGGAACTTCTCGCGGCGGAGGGAGTGTGGTGAGCCGTAATATCTGCAGGACCTGCACGAGGATCTAAAGTATTGTTACCGGGTTTCTTCGTCGCAGTGGCGTGTTTTTGGCAGGTATGTATGGTGCAATACGAAGGATATTCGTTGCAAGTTCTTGTGACGCTCGTCTGGTGATAACCCCAACTTGACGCTATCATCTCGTACGGTCTCACCCAGGAGAAGGGATACGCTGTGCTCACCTTGTTCGTTTAGCGCAACTTGAAGGGTCATTGCAATGATGTCCTTTCCAAAAGGAAGTCAGGGATGTTCGTCCTTGGTTCACCATATTGAAAGACTATGCCATGCGGTAGAAACATGTTCATTCCTGCCTCGTCGAAGTCCTGTATGATGTCCGTTATGGTCACTCGGAGGCACACTGAGGCATTCAGACTGCACATAGGCACTGAGTTTGTAACCATCAATTTTGTTTTCGTATCGGTCTCTCATTTAAACAAGCTGTAGATGCCAATGTGCTTGATCTGATGGTCTTCATCTACACCTATGCTGGAGAAAATTAGGAAGAACAGGGAATACCAGCTTGAGAGGAAGGATCAATACTCGAGATGCGATGTTAAAGCGGTTGATCAACTAAATCGTTGCAACATGCATTGAAATCCTGTAACATTGGAAGCGTAGATGAACACGAGTAATGGTCAGCGTGTTGCTAAAACTACCACTCAGCAGCTGGTCTTTCAAAATATTTCCGCCGCGCATCACGGCTTAGTATATGGACTGCAAAATTGCCTGCATCAATCATAGCCCACCCGTTGAGCATTCTCCGCTTAGAATTGGGCGGAAGGGGTAGCGGTGGGTCCATAGACAACAGCTAGACAACAATTTTCAGCTACTGTGAAGTAAAAAAGGGCTGAGCAGACACACAGTCTTTCGCACTTGACGTACGACAGCTTCTATCGATCCTCGGTTTTCGGTGCCTTCTTTCACCTTGCGAAAACAGTGGTTAGCAAGAAAGACAGAGCGCGGCAGTAGGGGTACAAACTTGAGCAGTGACTACCCAGTCCCATATACCTCCAGGCTCTTCCGCAAGACCTTCACCGGAGTACGTGCGCCCGCGTTTCCGGCGGCCCTTGGGTAACGTCCGAGGTAATGGAGGGCCAGGAAGAGCGGCGACAGGACGTTCGACAGTTAAAGTCGATAACTCTAGCAACGGAGATTTACTGAGCTGCGCAAATAGTTGCCTTATCCCGGCAGAGGTGTTTTCTGGGAGCTCGTGGGTTTTTGGAGCAAGGTGAGGTGGAGTATGCCTAGTGACTGGACCTTCAGTATCAATGAACCATGGCGTGGAAGGAGGTGTTGCCCCAGTGATGCTCCTGGAAGCAAAGCCAAGACGCGATGAACCTGGGCCCACAACCGCATGACGAAGGCATCGAAGAGTTTGCATGCTCACGATATTGTGACCAACTATGTTCGACAAGTGTTCACGGAATGTGTCGGAGTTCGATTACATGTAAAGGTCGACCACTACCTCCAGTATGGTGTTCGCAAACATTCAAAGCTCAGGTGGTCATTGGATCATGATATAGCACTGTTGTGACTCAGGGTGAGTAGTTGTATTGGATGCTACATGTTGCACGCCATAGTGCTACTTGATTATACGTGCATTGTGGCATCGTCTGCCTCTGTGGGCTCACAACTAACAATAATCGTGTATTCATCTGGCGTTCACACATGCAGTGCGAATATTCTATTAGATGGGGCATGGAGGTGTTGCAGGTGACGGGATGCTAGGTGCAATAGAATGGCACATCATTTGATTTGTATTCAAGAATCATTACTGCTCAATGTTTACAAGGCTCCTGATATCTATATCAATTGCATTTAAACAAACAATAATTTGTCCTTGTAGAAACTTTACATTCGTAAATCATTCTTGAAACTTGCTAGAAAACATACCGGTAATATGACATGTCCAAGTCGTTGTGCCTGCAAATAGCAGGAAATTCTAATTTAGTCACTGTATGACTTCGACATCGTCTACAGCCAACATCTTGACCCACATACCACCCTGCGAAAGCGAACCCAATTAGATGGCTGCAAACCATGTCAGAACGACTTACCTCGGCATAAAGTAACACATGGTTTTTCGGCTTGAACCGCTCGATTGCCGCCCGACCGTCTTTCTCAGCCCACCATGCTGGTGGACACATTGAAGGCTCGGGGGACAATGCAATCGCGGAAAAAATTTGCAGCAAACGGATAAGCACAAACGACATTTGGTTGTAGGCAAGCTGAGATACGAAACATGGTATGAGATGGGTGGAGGTAATGAATAACTCAATGACCGACGTACTTTTTGCCCTAAGCAGTTTCTTGGTCCAGCGTTAAATGGAAGGAAAATTGAGGGATCGGCAAGCAGATATTTCTGCAAGCGCTCGTCGAGCCATCTATCCGGATCGAACTCCAACGCTGAAACACGATCAACAATTCATTTACAGACGAAGTTCAAGCTCCTTATCGTCAGGTCCCCATAGATCTGTTCTTCTGTGCATAAGGAACACTGAAATAGGTGATCCTGAAATTATTCAAGTAGTCATGCGATGAATCAAAATAATCGAGTAAAATACGTACATGACTCCCCCTGGAACAAACAGTGGCTCCTTGCCAGGTTCAGGGGATGGCCATGTAGTGTCATGTATGCTTTCTCTGAAAGCTTGTGGCTCAACTCTAGTATCTATCAAGTAGCACGAGAACACACCTCACATTAAAGGGGCTACGCATCTGTAGTAAAACGATACAATTTGTCTGAAATTATATTCAATCACTTACAGGGGAGGGAAGAGGCGTATTGTTTCTAAAATAGGTGAGTGGCGCCTCCACATCCGACAGGAAATGAGAATATGCACCATTGAGAAAGGCCTGCATGTACTTCATCTCTTTGATATCACCATGTGTGGGCACGCCACTTAGCCCAAACTTCGATATGATTTCCTCCCTAAGCCGAGAGAGGACTTCTGGATGCATTGCAAGTAAATAAATAGCCGAAGTCAACGCCGAGGTTATCTAATATTATCTATTACCAACCAGGATGACTCTAGAGGTAATTGCAAACTTACCGAATCTCTTCCTGCTAGTAATATGTTCAACGTCTCGTCCTTGATGACTTTGAAGTCTGAAAATAATATTCAACAACAGGAATTCCCAGGTAACGGGCCGCCTCACCCGATGTCAGTTTTACCAGATGATCCACAAGCGTTTCGTTGCCCGCAGTGTTGTTTTCATCTGATTTGGCAGCCGTGCTATGCCTCCTCAGAGCGGCTTCGAAAATCGGATCCAAAAATTCGCTGACCACCTTCATATCTTGCGCGGTGCTGTCAGCAAGAATCTCAGTCATTGGCCACGTCGACCCAAGTATAAGACGACGACTGATTGCATGTTGAGCTTGAGAGAAAGCATCTGAGAAGGCTGCTATAATGTCTCTTTGAATGGTATCTGTGGATTCTCCTGTGTTACGGGGGAAAGGAAGTTCGGCGGAAAGTGAATCAGTGCAATGTCCAAACAGGAACTCCGATGCAGAATCAAGTGTAAATCTGGAGATGAGATCCTGTGGGCAGTTCTTCAACAAAGATGTCAAAATGCCGAGTTGAAGTCCTACTTGGAAGTCGATCGCCAAGTCCATCTTGAAACGTTCCTTCGCCAAAGCGATAGTACGATTCACATGACGGTCAAAGATCTCAAAATGACTTATCCGATCATGATTGAAGAAAGGCCGTGTCATAGTTCGGTGAAGCCTATAAGCATGTTGAAGGTTCCCTATCGGGTTGATACAAAAATATATGGCTCACTTCCATGTTTCACCTGATGGTACGGACAATCGATCCATCAGTCACAACATAAAAGGCCCTCTGTTCACGCTTACCATCCGAGTTAAATACACCCGTTCCAAGCACCGAGTCAACTGTTTTTCCAAACTTTACACCTGAATCGGGTCATAAGTCATTACATGCAGATAGACAGCATTCATGGACATACCTTTGACGTAGTTCTGATGATCAGTTACGAGCATGGTCTGGGTGGAGCTTGGTTTAGATTTTCTTCGAATAGAAATTGGAGCTTACCTTTAGGTGTTAGGGCTCCGAGGTCATGATATCGTCCTCCCAAAAGAACCGAAAATTCAAAGTCGGCCCAAGTTCCTTCATCTCGTCCAGCGCAGGTTGTCCTGGACGGAAGTAAAGCATGAACATGGAATGGATGGAACGGAAATTATACCAAGGTATTCGTTCTCCAACCTCATGAATATGTCCACTACCTTGTCCAGATTTCCAGGCCATTTGCCCTGGACACGAGGAACGAGTCTGGCACCGAGTCGAGTGGCCTTTCGTCGCTGCGACATTAACGAAAATATAAGCAGCAAACCCCAGAGGGGCTGCGCCCAAAACCACCAGGGACAAAAGCCATGGGGGACTCGAAAACCTTGCAGAGAAGCCAAACGTTGTATGATAATGACGGAAGAAGCGGTCGGAAAAAATACAGAAAGGAACCCCCGAGTGAGGTAGGCTACGCCAGGACTGACCCAAAACCGTGACATAGCTTGGATGTTGCTAGTTGATGACCAATATGTGGCAACAACTTGAAGTAAAGTTAAAGACGACACAAATGAAGACCCAAGTTCGGATGCCATGTCACAGGCGATGATAGGTCAGTCGCCAAAAACGTCGGATGTGCAAGAAGTATATATAGTGCCGGGCTTGTATAAGTTTCCTGTAAGCCAGAGAAGGAGCCTACGTGGCAAAGCTGCGAGTAATCGAACAGTTACAATGTGTGGAGCTCAGAGTAAACCGCTGTATCAGCCAGTTGCTCACCTGAGTTCCTTAGCATTGATTATCACTGCCTAGGCCTTTTGGCGTTGAGGGATGACCGTCATGGTGACCCTACTATTGAGCGGAACCGATGATCGGATGAGTAACCCTAAAACAAGAGTCTAGTACCCAGCTGGGCATTTCCCGTCGTTACCACTTTGGGTCGATTGGTCAATGGCTGGTAAGCGATTTTCAGAGCGGTAAAATAGACAGAGGGCGGGTGGCCTTTTTTTCTATTTTCGTGTGATGTCTTTTGAGATTTCTTGAAGGCTTCAACCTGTTCAAACCTAGGACCTTCGGGTACTCCGAGCTTCAAACAGAGCTCCGAGTTTCGTAGACACCGAGCAAAACCCGTCTCGGCCTATTTTCTCTTAGATTTCGATTTTCTCGTCTCTCAGATATTCACTCTTGATTAACACATCGATCTCATTCTCATTCCACTAGTATACAAAGGTCTAAGAGTGCAGATGAAGATATGTATGAAAGATGCAAGTAGTGTGATATGAAGAAACAATAATGATAATGCCGAGTTCCGAATGTGATGTCAATGATAGTAATGCCGGGTTCCAAATGTGATGATAATGGTCCATAAGTAATATGAAATGGGATGAAAGTTTTCAGCACACGTAGTCGTTCGTGAACGAGGGCTGGGCCATCGAATACGTCGTATTGTCTGGGTACTCGCAGAGGCCTTCAAAGTACCCCGAGCCATATTTCTCCAAAAACTCGTCTAGTTCAGTTGGTAGGGAGTTGTTCGAACAGTCCCCTGAGCTGGGCTGGAACTGAAAGTCGACATCAGGAACGGGTTGCTGGAAGTTGGTGAATAGCTCTGGGTCGAATTGTGGCATCTGGAAAGCGGAGACATCGGCGGGGACAGTCGGAGGCTGGAAGTAGCTGGAGGTAATGGGGAGCTGAGAAGGCTGTTCGTAGACAGAGGCGAAGCCCTCCGGATTGGTAGGAGGATCGGAAAAGAGTCGCTCCCAGGGAAATTCAGTGTGCTCATTCGAGAATTGGGAGATGCCAGAGTCGCTGGAACCAACAGGTGAGAGTGTATTGCAGGGAACCAGCCCTGCAAGCTCGGGAAATGTTGAGTAATTGAAATCAAATGATGCAGGAATATCTGTCTCTGGCTTCATAAACTGAGTAGAGGGGTAGGGAGCGGCGGCGGTCCGTCGGGCAGCTTTTCCACTGGAGTTTCGACGTGCTTTGGGCTCATAGCCGTGTAGTTGCTTGCGGTGACGCGTCAAGCTACCTGGATCGGTAGTGGCAAACGCGCACCCAGGGTGAGGGCATGTCTTCGAACGTTCACGAGTATGTGTCCTGATGTGTGTCTGCAGATTTGACTTCTGAAGGGTCTTGTAACTGCAGTTAGGGGATGGGCATGCGTGCATCCTAATCAAGATAGTAAATAGGTCAGGAACCATCTGGGATAGTGATAAGATACGAGCACGTACAGAGCCTCCTTGCGTTCATCGTGCGTACGCATGTGTCTAGGAAGGTCCGCCTTGCGGCTTATGGCCTTGTAGCAGATAGGGCAGTTAACGGGTGTCTGTAGATAAAATGTGATGAGTACAAGGCGTAGGATGCGAGGTAGGCTGGAAGCGTACCATGTTGCATCCTACAGCAGGCATACTGTGATTGTGTGTAATATGATAGAAGGGGTTATGAATGATCTGAGGAGTGGAATTAAATCCTTGGAGTAAATGAATAGCGAGTGCGTTGTGTCAAATCCACACATCTTGCCGAGTTCTTTTAAAGCACCAGGTGCGCTATGGACATCGAGTACGATTGCTTTCCTGTGGCGCGCGTTTCTGCCTTTAAAGGCAAAAAGTGCGAGGCAATCGTGTGCGATGGTCTGAGCATAAGGGACGAGCCACTCGGTTAGACGGAAAGGTAAAAGAGGCGGAAGAAGGTTCGATTGTGTTTCAACACTTTTCGTTTTTTGCCTTGTAAGGTAATTTTTGGTTACCTTCTCGATGCGGGGATGAGTGGCTCGGTGAAGGCCTCATAGTTGAGGAAATATGGGGCCCATAGACTCCCCTTCTGAAGAGAGCTCTACCTCGAGGCGTCGTCGAAGGCATTGAAGGTGCTATCGAGTTTCATTGGCTATCACGAAAATAAAATTCGCAGTTGTCAATGAAACATTGGAAGACTTGAAGGAAGACGATGAAGAAGAACAAGGCCAAGTCAGTGAAACTTGAACTGGCATCAACATCGCTTACGTCATCAAGTGCACGATAGGGGCTACTTGTACCAAAGCCTGAAGTGGTTCCGAGAGATGCAGCTGACGACGAAAGATGTCGCAGAAAGTTTGAATGAATCTACAGGTATGCAGTATCGTTTGGTCATCAATGAAGAGGCTGGTCCGATATCTCCCCCGTTCGGCATACAACCCCGAACTTTTCAGTACTCCAAAATATACGATGGAACAACTAAGGGCCGATCCAACAATTGAGCTTACGATTGTTCTAGCATCACCTGCTTCGCACTACACTGGCTGGAACCATTTATATCAAGGTCGGTCTTGTGACTTTTGTGGGGTTAGTGAAGAACCGATGATAGTGGCAGAAGCTTGCCTAGTGCTTTCACAATGTCCGCAATAGTACAAGACAAAGAGACCGCGGCCCGTGGGGTGATGATGGCCTGATAAACGCCTCAATCAGCACTCCACTATATCTCCCACAGCCGATCCAATCTACTCCAGGAATAATCCTCTTGTTGGCTAAACTCCACAGCCTGCACCCCCGCGAGGATGAGCGAGATAAAATAGATGGTTTGCGTCATTCCTTGTAGATATCAACAGAGCGACCAAAGAAATATGATAGGTACTGATGATATCATGATCTATTCTGGTGACCATGGCAGGTGTCTAGACTGGAATTAGTAATGATGGGTCGGTTACTCGACTAGATACAAGATAAGTTGACACTGTGGTCCATTGGAAGAGTAGTCACGGTATCAACTTACTGAAAGATCGAAAGTTAAGACCGACGGTTGCAGCCATATCAACAGGGCCATGGCGTTTGGAAATTTGGCGCAGGCGGGCTGCGAGACTCGCGGTGAGATCACTCATATTCGAGTCGACGCAGAGGGCTACATGCTTTCATGACTGATTCAGATGGATAAGGAGAGCATCGGCGAGCAGCATGAGCCTCAACGAAAGTCAATACTACCGTACTGGAGAGAACCAAGTCCAGACATGGCGGATCGGGTGACGCTCAATTGCTTCCGACGCAGTCGCCCCAAGATCGGGTCAAACTTACAATTACCAAATATTCAAAGCGACTGTCCACAGCTTAGACAGTCCTTTGACAAAAATTCATCACCACCAGTTTCTTTCAAGCATCGCTGCGCAAATACACAGTGATGGGTGTACGAGCTGGTATTGTCGTTTGCATAACCTCCTTCTTACTCGGTCCGTTTATTTTTTTCACGACTTCCTCGGCGTCGACGTGTTATGCTAACGCCTGCCTTTCAGGTTCACTCTTCACTCATTGGATCGCTGACTCTCTGACTCTCTGGAAGTCACCGGTAACTGACGAGCATCTGTGGACAGCGGCTCTTTACTACTCGATACTGACCAAAGGTCCCGTGCAAATTCTCTATGTTCTCTTTGCCATCATCATACTTGGCGGAACGACCATCTTTTGGAGTTTCAATGATTTGGAAGCGGGCAACTTGATGTTTGACGGAGGAAGCATATGTATGTGTTTCTTTCAAGTTCTCCATCAAACGTTCATGATTCATTCTATTTCCTAGTCCTCTACGGCGTTGCCGCCATCATGTATGCGTACGCCGTCATTCCCAGTCAGTCGGATCATAAAACCATGGATCACGATACTAAAGACATTCATCCCAGATCTCATGGATAAATTCACGACGATTCCGCCCTACCATGTGAAGGAAGCTTTTCCACGTTTACTAAGAACACCTACTCTTGACCTCGCATCAAACCACCTTGTTTGCAGCGTAGCGCTCACAGGTGTCCTGATCCTTCAGGCTGGTCGGTGGTGGGCTGAACTATCCGATGGTGATGAGGAGGAAGATTACATCTCTGAAAAAGTTGAAGACAGTGATGTTGCAAAAGAGACAAAGTCAACAACTCCCCCCGCAACAACCGCATGATAAAAACTACCCTCTCGCACATTATCTTCATGCAGGGCTGCTTTCCAGTTATCCACACCTCTAGTACTTATGCGTACTCAAGTTTCGGTACCATCCGATACCCTTCACGATCATCACACATCACATATCTTGGTTCCCGGGTCGTCATATCTTCGTGCGGCAACAATGCTTTCATTTCCATTGGACGAGTAATATTTACAAGTCGTTAGTGATATGTTGTACAAACACGATGACCGCAAGCACTTGCATGATGACGACATTCCAGAGCGATCCACACGTTTCATTCGCATTTGCTGGCCGAAGCCTCAGTACTGAGTGGTTATGGTACGTATAGATAATAGAATTGTGCTCTAGTCTATGTGTAAATTGTCTGAATCAGCCTTATTCCTGGACAATGTCCTCCTTCCTCGGTCTCGAGTCCTTGATTTCTTTGCCCTGACCTATTAACGTTTGGGCCTCATCATCGATCTCGATACCTAGCCTCATGATCAGATCACGTCCCCATTGAATGATCAGGTTGCTCACCAAGACCCTCTTCCTTTACAAGACCAAGCACGTGCTCCAGCTCCACAAACCCGTCTTTGTCAACATCCAACTTTTGGATCACCGCTTGTCCGACTACGTCGTCGGGCTTGTGCTTGATCACAGCGAGTGCTTTCTCTAGATCCTTCACAGGTATGCGTCCTTGCGGATCTGCAGAGAACATCTGCAAGGAATTACCAACACGTGAATCGTATTCTTGCAACTGAGTGTCGATTTTTGTGAGCATTGTCCGGATACGTTTTGTCAGCGCCCCTGAAGGTGACTTGGGATCCTGAGTGGAATAATTAGTATGGAAATTGCGACAACATTCAAAGTAATACCTCTTCCGCCTGAAGGTTCTCTTCCATGAGGGCGCGAAGCTCATCGCGTTCTTTTAAGACGCTAGATTTTGCCGACAAAATTGACAACGCTTCGCCAAGCTCCTTCAGTTGTTCGGTGGTCATGCGAGCGTTCTCTTCTTCGAACCGTTCCGGATGAAGCTGCACCAAGAAAATTAAAACATAGAAGCGAGGGTTTACAGGTCAAAGTCACCTCAGTGTCAGGCAAAAGAGACTGTGCAGTGCGTGCTTCTGACTCATCAGCCTCACGCTTGGCGCGGCGCGCATCTTCTTCCTTTTGCTCTTGCTCCTCTTCATCTTCGATGAGCTCCTCTTGTTGTTGTAAAACTTCGAGCTTCTGTTTGTAGCTAGCGCTCTCCGAGTCAACCTCTAGTTCAGCCTCGTTTAGCTGAGAACGACCAGTGTCAATGGTGAAGAGAAGAGTGGAAAGAGAGTACGAACCAAGTTGTCTGGCAATCCACTAAGGACACTTTCAAGACTCTTAATTACAGCTGTTTTGCCATCTTCATCTTCACCAGGCTTGCGGTCGAAATGAAAGGCTCGTCCGAGAATCAATAGTACACCAGAAACACGATTATGAAGATGCAATTGAATCCATGTAGTCAACTCGTCCCGAAGCCGTGCAGGAGAAACGCCAGTGGTACGAATACCACGCGATTGACATGCGGCTTGCAACTCCGAGGTCGACAACTCATCGACACCTTCAGAATAAATGACTTGATCGTCTCGACGAAGGTTCATGAGACGCGAGCGAATGGCACCCCGAAGGAAATTGTCCGTGCCGAATGCATTGACACCCATGTACCGACACATTGAAACAAGTTGCGGCCGAGACAAGTTATCAAGAGTAAGGTCATCGTCAAAGAGCTTAGCAACATTGATAATATCCGTTGCAGAGGGTGACTCCCCAGTGGAACGAACCCTCCTGAAAAACTCTTCAAAGGCATCCGAGCCTACTATGTGGGCATTTGCCTTTAAGCCAGACTCTCGCAACGTTTCCTGGAGGAACTTTGCCATTTCGAGTCTCACCCGAAGGAGCTTCCGTTGTTTTTCTTCCTACTTGTATATTAGCCAAACAAAAAGAGAAAATATGTTACAATCCCTTACAGCAGCAAATTTGTCTTCAAAAGTCGAGGGAAGCATATTAGGGAACAGTTTCAGAGCGACAGGAAGTAGGAGCTCCATGAACGGCACAATGATGAAAACAGCGAAGGGTACGAGTCGAAGCAAGTCCTGGGTCGTACGCTTTAGCTAAATATCGATTACCATAAGCTTGGCTGTTAGCATTGTGAGATAATATGCTCGCCTGTCGCCGTTCTCTTCGTGTCAAGCTCTCTCCATGAAGAATCTTCCACTGAAGTCTGGCAGAAATCCTGACTTCCGAAACAAGTAGCTTCGAGCCATGCCAATAGTGCGCTGCTTCGTGTTTCACTTTTTTCCAAGCTCGAGTCATGAACGGTGCGTCAGAGGCAGAATCCTTAGGTGCAGGGGGCGTGGCCTTTGGTTCAAGAGTGGATGAATCGTCGGTGACGATTTTACTTGTAGCATCACGGCTTGCGGGAGCAGACGAAGAAGTCGAAGTCGATGTGCTCTGGGTGCGGCGCGAGATAAGAGCATAAGTAGGGGAGCGCGGCGACACAAGGTGAGTTCGTGGGCCCAGAGAAATGTAACGAGTGGTTCGTGCTTCGATGAGTTGACGGCTATAACACCGCACAAAAGCAGCTTTCTGGGAGCGCGGTAGCCATACTGACATGGACGTTAAGAGTAAAGTTGAAGAGTTCTAGCTAGATTAATGGGTGACCATAAAATTCGTGGAATGACACTAACGTATGTCGTTCGGCAGATCGCTTCAGAAAACATTCTTTGCTCTTGTTTGTAGCAGGAATCTAAATCTTG